AGTCTGAAGAAGCGGGCAGGAGAATATCATTGAGGTGTACGAGAGGTTGCAAGAGCCTTTCAGGGTGAAGGTTTTGGAAATACAAGCACAGCTTCCAGGGACTGCAGGCTACGGTTGCTTTCATAAGCGCTGCAAATTCATTTGAGCATATTCAGATGTTTTGTATCGACAGGATAAGACTATATTGAGGAGGATTCTTATGGTCTTGATCAGTCTGTAAGGAGGATCAGCTGTTGTCGTTAAGCTGCTCGCTAAATTCTACAATTGCCTCTGGCCGGGTCTCGTAGAAGTCAGGCACCATGAGGATTATGATCAAGGGCGGTGTTTGGAAAAACACCGAGGATGAGATCCTCAAGGCAGCGGTGATGAAGTACGGCAAGAACCAGTGGGCTCGTATATCGTCCCTCCTTGTTCGGAAGTCGGCCAAGCAATGCAAAGCACGCTGGTACGAGTGGCTGGATCCAAGCATTAAAAAGGTGGGTTGAGCTCACAGCAGGGTCCAAGGCCAATCCTGTATATGCTATGCGTTGTTTGATTGCTTTAGTTTGGGATTTCAGCGGCCTGCATTCTGCATATCATGCATGAGTGCACTGCGTATGTACCAAGGATTTAGTGCGAGGCATCGAAAACATGCATTCAGTCTGGGGGGTAGCGTGTTCGACATGTTCCCTTCGAACGGCCACTCTGCATAGGAGGATTAGCATTGCTGCACTGGCTACATAGAAATGTTTGTGGTGCGCCAGTGAGCAGAATTGATGGTGAAGAAGGTGCCCTGATACATCAATGTCAGGCCTTGGTAGGAGAGTAAACTTTTCAATGAATCCTACAAGCAGTCATTTTACATAGTAGGGTTTCTTAGCTTTTCACCCGTTTCTTTTTGCCTTTGAATTAGCCCTCAAGCACATGGTTAGCGGACTCTTCATGCCACTTGAAGGACGGATGATTGCCGGACCGCGTTTTTCCGCCGTGCTTTTTGGATAATCCACTGGTGCAAAGGAGCCAGCCTAGTTTATCTTCCATAATTTGGAAGACATTCATGAACGCTTTTGGTAATGGTAAATTACTGCTTTCGTATTGCGGTGCACTCCAGCACTTTACGGCCACCAATGACAGCTATCGACTGTGTCTATCAGAGGTTGCTCGTGCGCTTTTCAAACCTCTTTGCTTTATCTTCTTGGTTTATGCATATGAGAGACATGCCCGTTCAGTAATTGAATTTGATTGGTAGTTCAGAGGTGGCGGTGCTGGCTTAAGGTCGACAGACTCGATCACTTCAGAGTTTCTGCTCACATTGTTTTGAAGACTTTGCCTGGGAGGCTGAGTCTGATATTTGGTTTGTGGTTTGAGCACCTGATACATCACGTGCTTTGAAGAGAAATACTCACATTTCAAAGACAATATCCAGAAACAACATTGCTTGGGGTGCATAAGTGGAGGAAGCTTATCTTCTTGGCTGCGTTTTTGCAGACGGAATGGACGCGGGAGGAGGACGAAAAGCTGCTGCACATGGCCAAGCTGATGCCGACGCAGTGGAGGACGATTGCGCCCATCGTCGGGCGGACGCCGGCGCAGTGCCTGGAGCGCTACGAGAAACTGCTGTGAGCGCACCGCCCGTTTCCTTGAAACTCTTGTTGTAGCATTTTCGGCACTGCTCGTGCTTTGCGACTTGGGGGCATCACGGGACTGAGCGCTCCTGTCCAAAGTTTGGTGGCGCTTTCCCTCAAGCCCGATTTCGACCGCTGTCTTTGGCATACTATAAGGTTTGAACAGGAAGTAGGTGCGAATTTTTCTATGATATATCTGGCAACTTTTTCTTTTGTTTGGATTGCCATCACGGCAGATGCTCGATGAGGGCTGTTGCCAATTGGTTTTACGGGTCTGTTTGCCACGCTGTACACGACGCTGACACAGCTCTTGTTCTGCCTGATCAGAGACGCGGCGGCAGCAAAAGACGAAGCGTATGATCCTGCTGACGACCCAAGGAAACTGCGGCCAGGAGAGATTGATCCTAACCCGGAATCAAAGCCTGCACGGCCAGACCCCGTGGACATGGACGAAGATGGTGAGCGTTTACTATGCTTCTTGCACTCAGTCTTGTGGATCTCGTTTGCCCTTACAAGGACACATCTATTTGGTCGAGGGCTCCGGCTGATAACAAGAGAGTCATTTGCAGCCTGATTCTGTGGCCTTATCCTACTTTGTTGCAATCACATGGCGTGTGTAGACACCAGCGGGATAGAAAGCGCAACTCTTTCTTTGAGAGAACAAGTGGAGAATTACGCTTAAGGCAACCGGATATGCGCCGACTTTCATGATTGAAAACAACCTCGTGTACAGAGAAGGAGATGCTGTCGGAAGCTCGTGCGCGTCTGGCCAACACGCGGGGTAAGAAGGCAAAGAGGAAGGCGCGTGAGAAGCAGCTCGAGGAGGCGCGTCGACTGGCATCTCTGCAGAAAAAGCGAGAGCTGAAGGCTGCCGGAATAGAGTGAGGAGCTTTGGCTTGTTAAGTCGTCAGCGCACTGGTTGAGATTAGAGACGGGTTCTTTTCAGCATCTTGTCTTCAGCCAACTTCCTTCTGCAAGGTGCAGAACATGTCGGAGTCTACATACAAAAGTTTTCCTTGTTCAGCACTGAGGTTTCTGCTGCTGATTAAACGCACTGCCACGCGACGCCACAAACCATCTGACTGTGCTCCATAGCATCTGACTTTTGATTCTGCTTCTGGCCCCCTGCAGGCTGCAATACCGCAAGAAGAAGTCGAAGGGCGTCGACTACAACGCAGAGATTCCGTTCGAGCGCAAGGCCCCCGCAGGCTTCTACGACGTGTCCGGCGAGGAGGGTCCCGCTGTGGACCCCAACTTTGTGAACGTAAATCTGGACGAGCTGGAGGGGAAAAGGCGCGTGGATATGGAGGCGCTTCTTCGTAAGCAGGACGAGGAGCGCCAGCGGCGGCGAGAGGCGCAGGACATGCCGGGGGTCGTCATGGAGATCAACAAGTGAGACTGCCGCTCATTGTTGCTCATCAGTGAAGTAAGCTTTTTGCCGGGATGGATGGGGCTGCTATGCAAACAGAAACTCCAGCTATTGATCTGCTCTGGTGGTCCTGAAGCGTGAGCAATGAGAGTTCTTTGTATGAGAGTAACTTTGAGGCGCTCTAAAAAGAGGTGGAGTTCGAGGGGCGGATGTAAGGTGGAAGGTTTTCAGCGCCTCATATATGCCAAGCGGCAGTTCCTTGTTTACCTTGTCAGGGGCTTCTGCACGAGCCTTATGGTTTTTGAGATCAGTGTGTATTCAACTTCCGATCGCCCTACCTCGTCTTTGTCGTTTGCAGGATGAACGATCCGGAGCAGGTTCGGAAGCGTTCCAAGCTGATGCTGCCCGCTCCTCAGATCAGCGACAGGGAACTGGAAGAGGTGAGTCTAAGCAGTCGTTTGAATCGAGCCGGCCATCTCTGATTAATCTAAAAGGTACTTGCATTCCGGCCGTACTCTGTCCGGCCTATTCATCTTTCCAAGAAATTCGGTGCGTTATCTGGAGCCCCTTATGTATAGCAGTGACTGCAGCGCGCAGAGTCGATGTTGCTTGCAATCAAGGCCTGTAGCAACACGGAATCCTCGAGCTCAAGATCACGAGATTAATTCCATGTTGGAACTCGCAGATTGCAAAGTTGGACTACGCGAACGACCTGCTTTTGGAGGCTGAGGGGGGCGACGGCGCCACGAGGGCACTGCTCGCAAGCTACGGACGCACGCCAGGGGCGACTCCGCTGAGGACGCCTGCACGAACTCCAGGGGGAACAGGTACGAACAACGATTAGTCTGTTGGAAGAGTCTGTTGCTGGTGGGTTTGGCTTCCCAGGACTTTGGGTTATCGTTTTGAGCTTTTGAGGCTGCCTGGATTGCATCGGTCCCTCGTCATTGTTATCTTTTTGCTAGCTTTTCTCCCATGAGCTTCTACACTCATCAGGAGAAGCTCATGCACATTGTTGTATCGCCTGAAAGCAGCCCTGGTAGATTCCCCAAGGTTCCGACGATACAATCCCTTTTGTAAGGCCATAACAAGCGGTTGCTTTCGTTATCTGTTCTTTTTTGCCTGTTGCTTACTTGCAAGTGCTTTCTGTTGAAGAAACTTTCGTGCTTACATCCAACCGCATGTGTGGGGTTTCTACTGACATCAGCACATTGCCGCAGGTGACGCTATCATGATGGAAGCGGAGAACCTGGCACGCCTGCGGGAGATGAACACGCCGCTGTTCGGTGGGGAGAATCCGACCCTGCACGCCTCTGACTTCTCGGGGATCACACCAAAGCGCTCCGTGGTGCAGGTATGCCAGACCGCTGCCCTCCGGGGCCTACTTAACACTCTCCTCACATCGGTCTTGATAGGTCTATGGGGTAGGAAGGGCGATTCCGCATGCGCGTTGCGACTTTTTGCGCGGTCAGTGTGATTGGCGCGGGTCGCTTCTTGTGCAGACGCCGAACCCCATTGCAACGCCCCTGAGGACGCCGGGGGGGCTGATCGGCATGACGCCCGGAGCCACGCCGGCGGGCAGAGGTGCGAATTGAGCATAGCATCGTTCGGAGTTCGTTTTGCATCCTTTTCAGGCGCTCTTGGACCTTGTTTGCACTCTCTTCACGCACTTTGATTGAAAACTATAAGTCATGTGCTGAGGCTTCGTACTTGAAATGTTGGAAGAAGATTTAGAGCCAGCTTTCACTTCCGAGTGAAAGTGAGCACCTGGCTCAGCTCCTCTTGCCCGCTGTACAGAGGCCTTTTTTTTTCTTTCTCTTATTTGTCTTTTGGCTACTAGACTTCACCAGGATTGGTTTGACACATTCCAAATCTGTGACATAACGAGAGCCGTCTTTCCGTGTGATTTTTTGGGGCCAGCAATGTGGCCGGCGATCTACCTCAGATGCAACTATTTCCAGTTGGGTATGAGCAGATTGCATAATTTTAATGTTCAAGGCTACATTCAGTAGCGACGACCTTGCAGAGGTGGAAATTTTCCCTTTCTCCATGTGCTTTTTCCCAGGTTTCACAACTGACAGCCCACGTGGCCCTTGCAGGTGTGGGGATGACGCCAGGGCGGACGCCAATTCGGGACGAGCTGCGCATCAATGACGGCAGCGAGACGCCAATGTCTGCTAGCGCGAGGGCCGAAAAGCTGCGTCAGGTGCGCATTCATTCTTTTCCCCTTTTTTTTAGTTCTTTGATGTGGAGACTTGATTGACACGCGTGTGCGCTCCTGCAATGCCCGCACGAAGGGGTGCTGTTCTGCCATCAAATGCCGGTAGTAGTACTCTTGGTTACATTGATGGTCGAGGGGTAAGATCGAGTATTTAAAACCTTACACGGAGTACCCGGCCCAGAGTCCAAATCAAGTAGTTTGCTTCTTCTCAATGTCCAAAACAATCTGGACGACATCGTTCCTTCCCATAGCGCAAGTGCTTTTGGATTGACACTCGATACACAGTGCGAGATCTCCCTCGCGGGGATCTTGCTCATCATTCTCGTCTGCATAGTCCGTCTCGATCGCCGTTCCGTCTCAAGTTCCGTTCCGTTCTGATTCCGTTCCTTCGCTGCGTACAGGCGGAGCAGCGTCAGCACCTCCGGGCCGGCCTGACCAACCTCCCCGCGCCCAAGATGGACTACCAGGTGCGATAGTTTATGACAAGTTGCGCTTCATTTCCGAGGAGCTTGCTGTTCCTGTTTGCACCATGTCTGCCGAAATGTGCTGCCCTCATTTCCGCTCCCTTTGTTGCTTCTGCTGTAGAAGAGGCTACCATGCTTCATCAATGCGCGAAACGTGGCTGCATCTGTTTCAACCTTACTCGTCTTGAGCATGTCCAAAACGATCGCGCTCTGCTTTTCCTTCCTGCTTTCACATCTGTCGGGCCCCATTGGCCTTCAACTTTCCGACTTTCCCAAAGACGACGAGTTTGTAGTTGTCCTGGGCACCGTAAAAGTAATCAAGTTGCAGCTTCTGATAGACGCAAGCACTGACGTGAGCAGTGCGTCATCTCCCGCAGATCATGGTTCCCGAGCTGCCGGGGGACGATGAGGAGGTCGAGCACATGGAGGAGGACGCGGCTGACGTCATCATGCGTCAGCAAGAAGCGCAGGCAGCCGCAGGTAAGGCGTTGTGGTTGCCGATCAGGCCGCGACCTTGTCGGGCACTCCTTGGACTCAACTTTCTTGCTTTCTGCACTTAAGAACTCGTAACAAGCGGGGCAACGCTGACGTCTTATGATCGTCTTCGTTCCTGTCCGATATGCAACGGCTCTGGTATCAGTGGGGAAGGATAAAACATTCTTCACCGTGTAGCAGCTTCAGGCCCTTCGATTGCTTTCTTGCAAGCTTTGCTCGCCTCAATTTATCCTCTAAAGTAATTGGTTCGAGTTTCACTGAAACGGTCAGCCCATGCTGAAGCGCAAAAGCCGTTGAAATATCTTTGCATCTCGTGTTCGTGCCACCGCTGAAAGAAGTTCTCTCTGTCTAATCTCAGAAAGAAACCAGATTTTCACCGCCCTCTGACGTCTCGTTTCCTTTTTCCTTTTTTCCCTGCAGAGGCAGCCGCCCTGCGCAAGCGCTCCTCCGCGATCAAGCGCGCCCTCCCGCGCCCCGCTGATGTCAGCACGTTCACCAAGACGCTCCAGGAGGAGCTCGGCGATGATGTCGTCCCCGCCACGAAACTAGAGCTGGCGGACCGGTTGGTGAAGGCGGAAATGCTGGCGCTTTTGGAACACGACGCAGTGAAGTACCCGGTAGAGGACGGGCGCAAGAAGAAGGGGCCGCACGCAAACGGGGGCGCGCCGATGGAGGCGCCGGCGTTGGAGGACGTCGATGAAGAGGACCTAAAAGAGGTGAGAGCTTGTAGTAGAGGGTTTGCGTGTTTAGCTGTGGTTGTAAGCTTCACTGCTTTGCGCGTTTCGTTGTGTAAGCTTCGGCGAAGGCGTATGCTGATGTGAGGGGAGGGGGCTGGCAAGCGCTGGGCTAAAGTGGGTGAGCACGTTTGATTCAGACTTCCCACTTACACTGTCGGGACGGCTAGCGAGCCCCTAAAAACTTCTTCTCTACAATTTGATGCTGACGAGAACACTCTTGTCGTGATTTAGGATTTCCGCTTTTTGCAAGTTCTACTGTCTTTCCCACCGACTTGCTGTCATTACCGCCGTTCTGGAAACTCGAGTTGGATGATGCGCCGGAGCGCCAGCCGAACGCTTGTCGTTTGATACGAAGCCAGCGAATGTTCGGATACACGTACTTTCTCAACACCATCTGCTCTGACCAGCCGTTATACTACCCCCTCCAGGCCGAGTTCCTGATTGCCGAAGAGGCGGACATTCTGCGCTCGCTGTGGGGCCACGACGCCAAGGAGGAGGACGAGTACGTGGAGACGTGGGAAGCGGTGTACTCGGACTACGTCTGGCTGCCAACGCAGTGCCGGTACGAGCTGGCCAGCGTCTCCAACAACGCCGACAAGCTGGCGGCGGCGCAGGCAGAGTTCGAGGTACAGTAAAGCAGAGTTTGGCCGGGTTTCATTGCGTTTCGGACTGAGCGGAGTTGTGTTGTGGTAGGGGAACGAGTGTAGAGCCATTCCAGTGCCTGTAGAAGAGTGGAGCAAAGCTGTGGGCGCTAGGCCTGAGAAGCGCAGAGAAAATCGATGGCGGGTCCATCAATCTGTTGTGTTTGACCTCGAGACTTCGGAGATCATGTGTGGGTTCAGAGAATTTTGAAGCTTCGAAGCGCAGCTTTTGTGATTGAGGTCTGGTGAAGCATGGCTACAGATTGTCACTGTCACCAGCCGCTCTCTTGTTGGTCATGACGCTTTTGTTTGCGGAAGGCTGAGGTGCTCGTATCGACTTTGAGTCTCAGAAAACTGTGTTTGTCTCACACGTGTCACGATCTGAGCTGGGCGACGTCTTGTTGGGTGCAGAGGTTGAAGAAACAGATCGAAGTCGAGTTGAAACGGGCGCAGAAGCTGGAGACAAAGATTGGGATGGTGCACGGGGGCTACCAGGTAAGCAGCCCGAATCTTGCAATCGTCCGAAGTTCGTATGCAGAGCCTTGTTTGGCAGCTTTGTCCATTTTGCCCGTCGAGCTTGGATTGGTTCTGCTGAAGTATGACGAGTCAACTGTTGGGCATCATAGCTCCGTCTGCAACTGCTGGAGTCTTTGAGCTGCTGCCAGAAAATGGAACCGCTGAAAAGAGCCTGCTTTCGTTGCCTGCCGTTCCTCTAGGATGCGCATCCGGAGCAGTTGCGCAATCCGTCTTATATTCGGTGATTGCACAAAAACGCCGCTCGTCCTCCGGGGGACTCCAGGTTACTGACAATCTCGATCTCTGGGTAGTAAGAATCTCACCAGCCTTGCCGCTTCCAACCAGCTCCTCGAAAAAGTTCTGGTCTGACTTCGTTGACAGATGAAGGCCAAGGAAAAGTGGAGCGCCGTGGAAGCAACCTATAAGCAGGCCGACATCCTGGGGACCGAGCTCGAGTGCTTCAAGGCCCTGTTCCGGCAGGAGCAGCTTTCTATTCCTAGGAGAATAGAGGTAAGGATTGGTCTCTTTGGTCATCTTCGAGGCCGCTTAGGAGCACTTCCTGTGTTTCAGCACTTCTGTGTTTAGCCTTTGGCTGTTCGAAGCTAGGCGGCAGCGGTTTGAGATGGGTTTGCTTGTCTGGGTCGTCGGTGCAGGCAGGAGCCGGCGTCATTCAGAGTGTGGTGTATTGAGGTTGTATGTGCTAGTTCATAGATTACGGTTGTCATAGTTCGCACCCGAGTTTGGGTTTCGGATGTCAGCGCCAAGGAAAACTGCATTTTCTGATCTCGCTTAAGAGATATGCGAGGACGTGAGGTGTCCTGTATCGGACCCTGCCTGTCACGCGAGATGTTGGAAGCCTGTAGCTGATAGTTAGTGCGTGTGCACAGTGAGCGGCCTCAGCCACTGGGAACAATGAGACCGAAAGTTCATATTCTTGAGAGCTCGCAAGGTCATGAGTCACTTCCCGTCTTTCCTGAGTCGCTGAAGGAGGACGTGCGTGGGCAGTGTTATTACCATATTGTTCCTACAACGGACACTTCAAATAAAACAGCTGAAACACCCAAAGACAAAGATTTTATTCACTTTTGCCAGACTACAAAATGGAGATCATCATTGCCTGCTGTCGCTGAAGGAGGACGTGCGCGGTCAGTTGGAGTGCATAGTGGCGTACCACACTTACAACATTCTCCAAACGACAATCTAAATCCTCTAAGACCCGACCCCTAAGAGTCAACTTTCGAGCGTTGTTTTTGCAGTCGCTGAAGGAGGACGTGCGAGGTCAGTCTGAGCGCGAACGGTCGCTGCAGCTGTGGTACGAGAACCTGCTGGTGGAGCAGGAGGATCTTCAGCGCAAGATTGACGAGCACGAAAAGGGCCTCACAGCCGCCAAGCGCGCCGCGGAGGAGCGCGCGGCAGAGGAGGCGAAGCGGCATGAGGAGGAGATCAGGTACGGGTTTTGGCTTCTTTTCGTCTTCGGTGTTTCGTCATAAAGCCGTTCTTCTGTTTCCTCAGTGCTTTTTTGAAACCGTTTCGTTTCTGTTGTTTCCTCGTAAAGGCGCTGAGAGGGATCTGGCGACGAGCTTTCCCAAAGCTTCGAGGTCGAATGCGCGAGCAGGGGTTGGTTTGTTGCATTTTCTGCAGGACTGCACTTTCGTATTTCGTGTTCTTTCTGCTTTGGTCTTGCGTGCTCTTGATCCTGGCGCGTCGTACAACAAATGGCCGCCAGTATGATAGCGGGCTGTTTAAAGTGGCTTCCACGTGTTTGCAGGGAGAAGCACCGGAAAGAGGCGGAAGAAGCGGAGAGCGTGAGAGCGGAGAAAGGCGAAGTGAGTGGCAGGCAGAGTACTCCGGCGGATGGGGCTGAAAACGGGGAGAACAACAACGAGGATGAGGAGATGGTGGGGCCGCAGGTTGCAATGCCTGCGGCGAATGCAAACGGGCCTGCAGAGGACGGCAAAAATGGAGAAGCGATTGGTGCCGGTTGAAAATGGACAATGGGGTGGTTATCCTGGTAACAAGTTAGTTGCAATCAACTCGCGAAGGGGGACACTGAAAGGTTCTAAATGAGGGGGTTCAGGTAGTTGTGTTGATAATGAGCGGCCTGAAGTTTTGGCATATGTGATCATTTTCACTCGTATATGAGGGTTCCGGTCTAGCTCCATCAGCTCACCAATTTCGTCCTTGCTGGCCGTTGCTTGTGGTAGCTTTGGGCAACACTTCATGAGCACTTGAGAAACTGGATTACAAACCGCGTGTCAAGGTATCAACTCAAGTTCATTCTGTCGACCTGCACCTGTATGGTATCGACCATAAATTGATGGATAAACGCGACCATGTAGTGATGTCCGAGCCTGAAGACTCTGATGGTCTCTTCTTGTTTGCGTTAGAGCCAGACAGGCCACAGGCTTTTCATGGCATACATATGCGTGGTGTGTTTGGTTAAGCAATTTGAGCTTGAATCTGCATGCAATTGCCCACGTCTATGCTCCACCCGTGGTCGCGCGGGCTTGCATAATGTCCATATGCATCGGACCGTTGTTAACTGCAATAAATTTGCCATGAAGCTTTAAACACGGAGGAGCTTAAAGACGCGGACTGCTAGGCCCGTGGCGAATATCATTGAAGGGCAGAGTGGAAGGCTGGCCCCATATAATGCTATGTTGACGCCTGCACTGCGACGTCAATGGTGCAGTCAATAAAATTCAAGAAGAAGTCCTGCCTTATGGGCCCCAGAGGACAACACGGGGTCAATTCCACATTCTGCGATCGCTGACATTCTCTTGACCCAGCAATGAACACTGCGCTCGTATACGTGAGACAGACACGTGATCGCGCTTGCAATCCGTAGAAACATATGACACAACTGTATGACTGATCTTGTTTGTGTAAACAACAGGCGTGCTAGCTAGATGTCCCGTACTTCAGAGTCATGGTTTGAAAGTCGGCCAGCGTAAGCTCTTCCTGATCGCTTTTCTCCTCTTGCATCTTCAACTTTAGCGCCAGCCAAATGTGTTTGGAGACGTGCGGCGTGCTCTGCAAAGGCGAATGATCGTTCAGCGCCGCCCTCGCATGCAGCCAATGTAATCGAATCAAAGACGCACGACAAAAAGTCGCATGGTCAGATTGGCATGCCGTTGAGCGCATTCTGATCGAGACGAAGAACCGGGCTTAAAGCAGATTTCTCCTGATAGCACCCTTACCTTGAACAGGTCAGGAAAAGAAGACAGAGCACTTCGATAAGCGTCCAAGGCTGACTCGTCCAATTGGTCGATCCAAGGCGGGTCCGACCTGCGAGTATGGCGTCAGGAGTTTATAACCGAGACAAGATGATCCGTACTTGAATCCAGGCCTCTGCTTCTGGCGCACTTTATCGGACTGGACCCGCAAAAGGTTCAAAGGAAGTAGGAAGTAACCAACGTTTTCTCTAAGCTTCGGCGTCTCTAGACCACCACAGACTTCCGAACATTCATTGATCTTTGCAAAGCTCCGTGACAGAATGTTGGGCACCACTCCACAATCAGACGGGTTTGGAAACTGCTTCAGATCTCAGTCTCTCGGTCAAACCCGCCGACGGCAATTGCTTTGTTCCTGCTCAAAAAAAGGCCAGTTGCGGATACTCACTAAGAGTATTCTCGGGTGATTCAAGAGGCGTGTGACTCAAGATAGGTGCCCGGGAGACGGGTGGGGTTGGTAGGGTGGTTAGGGTGTGTTTGGGTGCGGAGCGCGTGACCAATTTATGATAGGATTTTCCGTTTACATGCCCGGGTGGCTTGAATGATAGGTCACACGCCCTTTAGGTCACAGGAAAGTTACCAGTATGTAAAACCTACTTTGAGTATCCTTGGGTTATCTCCTTGTCCCTGGTGGAGAGGGGTAGCAGGCTCGCCCATTCGCTTAGCACGGCGAGCAATTGGTCCTTATCAACGCGTCTTCGTTCATCCATGCACGCGCCGTAAAAGTTGACCACCTCCGTTACGAGCTCGTCTCCCTCCGAACCGCCGTCTGCTGCTCGCTGCAATAGATTTTGGTACAGCATCACTTGCATTGCCAGAGATGAAAACATTACTTGAAGTTATGGTTGTTGTCGGGCATCGAGGATGCAAACGGGGAAAATGTGGACGAATTTGCTACGCCAGAAAGTAGCAGTTCCGAGCATCCGACTGAGTGCTTCAGAAAATCGCTTCGTTCTTTGAGATGGGGGCTTGCACCGGAAGTCATCGATGAGACTCTGAGAAGGGATCCTTGCAAAGGTAAAGCCGTCTGTGGTTGATCGGACCAGCTTCGCGCTCCGAAAAATGTGGCCCTTCCGATGCAACTCATTGCAACCTCAAAATCGTCATTATTTTCCTATGGATGCCATTCCAAAACCATTTGTCAGGCATCAAGTTGACTGCACGTACGTTGGACGGCCTGGACAGTTTATATTGTGGCCCAATTCGAATCTGCAGAAAACTTGTCTTTGCATTTCTTTCCAGCTTTGATTTATACAGTGTATAAGCGAGACAGTTCGCTGCATGCAAAGGTGCAGTCGACGAGAAAGAGGACCAGATGACTTAGCACGAAATCCTTGATAAGACAGCGAATGAGTAGGAGATTACTTGCTTCTCCCAACTCTGACAAGGTTAGTCAATTCAGTGCTTTTAAACACACGAACTGCAGTGTGGTAGCATCTAGGCGGGAGCCCGTGCTTCAATCAAGATGATGATTCTCTGCAGGTTATATGAGAGCGAAGGACCCTTCTGAGCTCCAATCCCTCTCTAAATCAATATCTCAAGCACGAAGAAACTTAGAAGTCGAGATCAAGCTGCTGGTGCCTCATTCCGGCCTTGAATTCCAGATGAAGTAGGGAGAGGCCACCTCTTTGAGCTGATCGGCTACCGTCTTCATAACGTCCGCCAGAAAGTGCTCGACCGTGGCCCAGCGCTGAGTCCGGGGGGCTGCTTTTAGAATGTCGACACCAACGGACGCAACTAGAGCGAAGTCGAAATTATACAGAAGGTCGGAATCTCCAGGATCCTGCTTGTATCGCTTCTTGTATTTCAAAGCGCACGCCTTCTTGTGGTCGTTAAACAAAAACATCAAGATTGATTGAGCTTCGGAGATCCAGACAAGTCGTGGCGGACTGGAATGTTGACCACCTTCAGCTTAAAAAAAATTCATTTTTTCTTACGTATACGCAATTGATGCGGCGCTCTACAATGTTGGCGACATGTTCAGTTTGTAATTAGATGGCAAAGGAAGGTAGGATCCCTAGAAAAGTAAACAGATTTTGAACGGCAGGATCCGTCATGTGGCACGCGCGATTTTTTTTCCACTGAGTGGCTTTAATCAGGGCAGATGACAAGGACAAATGAAGCTGAAAGAAACGTTTTCCCACTCACGGCAAAAGCTTTCTACCTGCGCCCATGCACAGCTCCTGGAGGAAGTTTCTTGTTCTGATTCTGACTGGTTAAGATCATCGCAAAGAAGCTTGCTTAACAAAGCATCAAGCAAAATCAACTGGCTATCTGCGAGTTTGGGAAGCAAAGAAGCCACAGGAAAAACTGCGAGCAGAATCTATTAACGGTGAACAATCCTCATGTTTCAAGAGGCATTTCGACTGTGTAGCTGCAACTATAACGTGGCAACTAGCAATAGAAGTGACTACTGTAGGCTCTCTGGACAATCTTAACCAAAGGCAGTTACTTAAAGAAAAGGATCAGCTGAGCAACTCACGCTAGAAGGTGAGCAGCGCTCCGGTATTCGTCTGCGTGCGCTTCTTCAATTAGCTGTTCCGTGCAGTTCAGGCCGACGAGCTTTGCACCTTCACGCTGCCAAGCTTTCAAAGCCGGCTGGTGCGGCGACAACAGTACATGCATGGATTTTGCAAGTGAGTTCGGATCTTAGCAAGTGTACAGAATGTTCAACTATGAAATGGAAGGTTGGATCCTTGAGAATATGCTGCAGAAGTCTGGACTTAAGATGCTCCGTTTCTTGGTCTGGACTCATCATCATTACAGCAGGGTAGCAGAGCTTTTGCTTCTAGCCATCTTCTTGGCCGTTAAGTTCATTAAACAACCAGCGTAGGATTTTAAGTGAAAGCGAACTACTCTCAGCGGACAATTGAGGGCAGAGAACCTGAACAAAAGCAGCTTGAACATGCTCCTGTACTATAGTTAATCGATCATGGAAACAAGCCTTGTCCGTAAAGTAACAAGGTTGGAATCAGCTGTTATATTCACGATTATCGATGAACAAACAAAGACTGCAGAGTACGTACGACTTGGATAGTGTCTGGTTTGAACAAAAGATCCAACAACACCAAGATCTCACTCTCGCCTCAGCTTGTCACCATCTATTCTCACCTTGACTGCCATGATGAAAAGGAGTTGGTCCATGGAGGAAGTTCCTGACGGTTTCTAGACGGATCCCTCCCGACTTTCAGTCCTGATCGATGCTTGAGCAACACGGTCGAGAAGCGAGTGGCCGCTCCTATTCTCGTCGGAGTCCGCAACTGAACTGAACTCTGGTGCAACGATGCAGCAACGCGTAAGTCCAATTATTCAAAGGTCAGGTCGCTCTCGAAGAGAACAAAGACTAACACCTCCGGGCTCCAAGAAACACATTTCGTAGTTTTATGGCTCCACCCGCGTTGCAAGCCTGGACTTCGGAGGACGTCATCAGACGTCACCGTTAAATGTACAGGCTACTCCCAGCCGGAGGCCGGAGCAGGCCGGAGGCACTCAGTGCTCTCTCGCTGCCTGGTGCAGCAAGACAAGAAGCGCCTGGGTTTGAGAAGGGCAGCCTCTAAACATTCTGAATGAGCACCATGAATGCTATGCCGCCCGAAATCCAAACTGACCAAGATATCCTTTGTCGGTCAGTGCTTTTAAAGCTGCGTATGAGTAGGCGGTTATACTCCAATTGCAGCCTGATTAACATAGGTAAGCACGTCTTTGTTGGTTATTGCATGATTTGTGAATCTCAGATCAATCTCTCGTGCCAATTGATGAACTGACTGGCCTTCAGGTAGCTCGGCTGCGCATACCGCACGTCGACGGACTCCGATGTGCCATGCAGCCACGATTCAAGAACTATGCAACCTGGGAGATGCGCGACGATGACCGGCGCGGTCATGATTAATTGTGCACGCGATCATGCCTTGCATGGTCTTCAAAACTGCACTGATGGACCAAACCCGAAGTTCATGAAGCAACTGAGCGCCGGTAACTGTAACGTGGAGCACCGTTTCGGCCTAGTACGGCCGGATCGACTCGGCATGAGTCCGACATGTCTTGCATGAAGTGCACGACCATCTTTAACAATCACTGAGTGCATGGCAATTCAATCGCACCTAGGTCAGCTCATCTAGACAATCCCGAGATGATTGTGCATGAAAGTAATTCTTTTCGAAAAGATGGAAGATGTGATCCCGCAGATGGCAAAACATGCACATGGCTGCGTTGCACATAGTTGCTGTTCGAAAGCGGGCTGATGTTGCGTTAGCCAATTGCAATATGTGCAACCGTGCACAGCCTGAGTCATAACTCTAGCTCTTGCAGACAGGCGATTAAGGATGCAACTCAACCACGAGCTTTTTGATTGCAAATCAACGTACGTTGGGTTTACATGAGATCCAAGCACTTAATCCAATCGTCGGCAAGCGGTTCTCTTGATCCATGACCCACGGGCAGGTCAAAACTTTACTTGGAAGTAACGAGATGACTAATTGTCAGACAGGGAGACGGGGGGGAGGGAAAAATAATGCCCAAAAGCATCCGCCCACTGACAATACCTCTCCTGTTCTATATTTACACTCTCTGCCAAGTCACCCTAACAGCCAGCCCCTGCCTGAAGCTGAATCTATGTTGCACCCCTACGGTTCTGCTCGACCCCGGCCGGCGTCGCCGCACCAAGTCTCCACAACACACGTGTCTCAAACGGGGGGATCCCTCGCTACTTTAACGCCCTCCTAATAACACTTAGGTACTGCCCTACTCCGAAACCGATCTCTCGCAGCGCTCAATAGTTCCACGACTGCTGCTGGTTCCCGCCCCTTTGGTTCTGGTACCCCCCGCTGCCGGCAGCCCCCGCGCCCGCCCCCCCGGACAGAGGCTGCTGCGATTGCGCCTGCTGGGGGTACTGGTGTCCAGCCTGGCTCGGCCCCGATTGCGAGGGGTGGTACAATCCCCCCCCGTAGCCGCCGTGGTGTCCCTGCTGCGCGTAGTGCTGGTTGCCCCCCGGGATGTTGTAGTACGAGCTCGTGGGGGCGGCCTGGACGTCCCGGGAGAGCCCCTGCAGGCGATATGAGACGCGAAATCAGACACAGGGGGTGCAAGAAGCGTCTCAACTGTAAGGCCCAGGCAGAAGAGGAAAAAGGGTGGCCGCTGAGGGATGCAGAAGTGGTAAACGCTTATGGAGTTTGTTTAAAAAGACCCAACTTCCAAAGGATGATAATTCAAACGAATTGTTCGAGTGCTCTTGAGGCATACGGCTGGTTGTTAGTGTTCGCGAGACATTCTGGATGGCTAGAAGACAAAACACGGGCACCAGTCCACGCACTCCACAAACGACCACTCCCTCATAAGAAAGCATGCTAGCTGTCCAGTCCCGGTTTTCTGTAAAGTCTGCGGACTACCTTCTTTGCCGCAAGTAGCAAGCAAAGACTTGCTATCAGCCTCATCAGTAAGTGGCCCTTCCTTAACAAAATACGTAGAGAACAACCTGACCATTCAAGAGCTCAAATTCCAAGAGTCGATAAGGTAACTTGCGAGCCTTACAGCCCTGTTCCTTACCTGCTGGCCTGGGATGTACAGGTTGCTCTCCTTGTACTGGCTCGCACTCAGGTCCTCATACCCCGTCGCGTTCGCACTCGACACCGCCGGCGCGCCGCCATAGCCCCCCGGCCCCGCCCCATACCCGCCATAAGCGCTCGCCCCCGGAGCGCCCCCAGCCGTCGTCCCCGGCTTATACGGCCCGCTCGGATACTTGACACTCGTGCTGACGCCACCAACGGGGGGGTAGCTTCCACCCGCGCCGGGGGGGTAGTTCCCACCGGCCGGACCCTGGGGGTACCCGCTGTTTCCGGGGGTCGCGTAGGGCGAGTGTGAATACGGGTTGTACATGTAGTTGGGGGGGTGCATCGGGTAAAAGTGCGGGTATTGGTAGGCGCCCGGTGGAAGGTTGGACTGCGCGTAGGCGTGGAGAGGAAGAGGCTGCTGGGCGGCAAAGCCGCCACCCGGGGGGGAGGCCCCGGTGATGCCGGCCTGGGAGGACTGGCCGCTAGTGCCGGAGGACGAAGAGGCGGCGGCCTATATAGAAAGAAAGAAACAAGCTGAGTTACAAATCGAGCGACTATTCGAGCGATCAGAGCAGTACTCCATGGGTACAAGAACCGAATACAATGGTTTTCCACAGACCTTTTGCTTCTGCGGCCCCAACGAGTGTTCAAGTTCGTTTGGGGAGTTTACCGCGGTGAAGTCGAAGATATACGAGACGTGGTTCATACGTGACCAAAACGGCTCTCGTTGATTTCCAGGAACTTAACACAAGTTTCGGCCGTATGCATACCACTGTCTGCGACCCCAATGCTAGAGGATTGGAGTCAACCACTTTGTCCCCAATCCAAAGCGCTTATCAAAATACAATTTCCGGGTCAGGCCCCCTCCCGCTACCACAACTTACAGGGCCTTTTGAGTGACCCAACAATAAAGTCACACACCAACGATCCGCCCTGTTTCCTGCAATACACCCCCGTGCTCTTACCTCCTGGCTCTGTGATGAGGCGCCCGTTGAGGTGGCGGATGCGCCATACTTGCTGCTGGCGGAAGCAGCGCTACCGAGGCCAGAGTACTTGGTCTCCGTCTCAGACTGGGGCCGGAACGAGGCGTAGAAGTTGCTCGTGGGCTCTCCATACGGCTGCAAGGGGCAAATGGGCGAAAACTAACTATATAGGTTTCCGTTCAAACAGCAGTAGGGCTGAAGAAGGATAATTAGGCATTGCTACGGATGTACCGCAAGGTGCCATGGTCAGCGCTGTCTTGGTGGATACGTTTGGCCCAGCCCGCATGCTCGAAAGGCTCTACAATGCTCCACCATGAACAGGATCAGACATCCGCCTCCTTTTGTTAGGGGATGCTTGAATAAAATAGGCCCACAACCCACGATGATGATTCCAAGCCAGTCAAGGGGCCTCGATCTAACGTCCACGATCTCTAAGACTTCATTCCTCCTTGCAATGCCTTCCATCGTCCCCCCAGATCAAGCCAAAGAGTCACTTCCGAAGGACTTACAAAATCTCCTACTCCATCTCAATACCGCTCAACAGCCCAATCCTTATGAGCTTGCTGGCCGCATTCTCCCGAACTGCAATATTTGTATGTATCCCCACGGGTGAGTAACCCAATCTGCAGCATCTGGGCGCAATCCTCACCGTGCTGAAGCTCGAGAGCCGGGTCGCCTCGCTCCCCTGGCTGTCGATGTCGTATGGGTACTGGCTGGATAGGTGCGGAAGACCGACACCCGAGAAACCAGGGTACCCCGGGTACTGCGGATATTGCTGCGCCTGGTGCAGGCTGCTGGTGCCGTCGTGCTTGGCAGCCTCGGAGTGGGAGGTAGAAGAGGGGGGGAGGGACGACGACTCGGCCACGCTGCTGGGGGGGGCGATGGAGGACGACGGGTGCTGGCTGTAGGCCTGGCTGGTGGCGGAGATGCTGCGGGGGGGTAACGAAAAGTCTGACATTAGAAACTGAATGGAACAAAACTGTGGTCAAGTGAGAAGGGTTTCGTTGAGGCGCCGCGGAACCGCAGAAGGAAGACCTTGAGGTCATCAACGATGAGGTATACCGTGCGGATGCTTCATAATGAAACAGGACCGTAAGCCTGCATGAGCGACAACTATACTCCCAGGAGAAAGCGCCGACAAGCTTTCGCTGGAAGTGAGCGGATCACCTCAGGAAGTCTCAGGAATTCTCGGCACCTTTGACGCATACGCTGCTGTTACAGAAAGCAACCACACCAAAGTCACGGCCCCTCGCTCGCTTACCTGGACGGCACATGCTGCTGCGCCCCGCTCGTGGCCGCCTTGGGCGGTGCCACGCTCTCTCCAAAGCCCCCAAACCCTGCCCCAAAGCTCCCAAAGCTGAGGCGCGTCCGGTCGGCCTCCGACACCTGGAGTTAAGCTCAAAGGGGTTATGCAAAATAATGGGCAGGTAATATTCATGCCCCTAAGGAAAGAGAGGCACCTAACGAAAACCGGGTAGGATTAGGTGGCGGGGAACAATGCTAACAGTGTATGCCTCCAGTTTCACGAGATTTCTGCCATTGTAGCGAGTGACAATCTGAGAGGAGCCAGTAACAAATCGAGAAAAGCTATGACCTGCCAAGGACAGGGAGCTTTTGACGGCCAGCTCTGGCCTTACCGCTGAAGCTCTCTCACAGACCTCTTCACCCATCTCTTAGTCCATCTGCTAGATTCGCGATTCTCCAGAAGCAAACACCATTATCGTAGAGATTTACCTGGAGGTGTCCTGGGAGAATGACGGGCTTCTCTTCCTGCTGCGGCTGGATGCTCAGGCTCTCCAGCTTGGCAGCGACCGCAGACTGGGGCGGTGATGTGGGGCGGTTCATCGGCTCAGACGCGACGGGCGAGGAACCGATCGAGTTGGGCAGGTTGGGACCGGGAGCCTTGGGCTTCCACTCGAGGCCACTGCTTGGGGCTGCAAAAAGGGGGGGTGGAGTGACGTCAGCTGAAGTAGCTGGTTGGTGTAAGGGGGAATTGATGTTAGCAGAGCGTTGTACGAAGGGTGGTGACATCAACGAGGCGATGTGAGTAGAAAGCTGACGGCAGCGCACTTCTGAGAGGAAAAGAAAGGATCGAGCCGACGGGGGAGATAACCCGAGGTATATGCATGAAAGGACGCGTGCACACCAATCAGGAGGAAGAAGCCCCGACAATCGACTGCAGGAAACCTGCTGGTTTGCAAAGACACCACCCGTGCCGCTGACTAAGGCTCAGCAGAAAAGCAATCTGCCTCCTCTTTTGTTGCATAAGTAGCCCCCCGCTTCACCAGGAAATCAAGCGAGACAGCTTATACCTGCCCCCAAGAAAGAAACAACCACACTAACGCAGGTCCCCTTTTGCTTGTGGTGCCGCCATCAGCCATCACCAAACTTTGGACACACTTCCTGCTAACCACACCAATCTCGAATTGCACAACTGCTGCATCCCACATTGAAAAGCCCCCTGGTTATGTTGCTCGGGCAATGTGCCCTTCCCTGACATCATCAGGCTCGTCTGGATACAATAAATCTACAAACTGCCAACCTGATCTCTCTTGCACAGCCCTCCTTGCAATACTACACCAAGGGCTCTCATACCTCAAGAACCTTGAGTCTTTGGATGAGAAAGGCCAGCCAGTGCTCACCCTTTGACACTGCCTGGGGTTGGTAAGCGGGCCTTGACCCATACTGGCTCGTCACCCCAACGCTCCTCCCTGGCGCACGGGCGTCCTCCGCCCCGTCGCTCACGTCCGACTGCAGCAACGGCCTCTCTTGCGGCATGGGGGGGGGCACGATGGGGGACGCCACAGGCGCGGACTGCCCCCCTGAAATGCTGCTCTCGCCAATCGAACCCCCCAGGTCCGACGTGCTCGGAGGGGACCCTGCCTGGCCCCCCACGGGCAGGCTCGACTCGTACGACATGCCCCTGTCCTTGCTGATCGGCCGCTGCGTCCCCACTGTTCCTAGCTCCCGCTTGATCCCCCCTCCCGGCGCCCGCGCGTCAAACGACGGGTGCAATACGGGGTCGGTTGCAGAAGAATACACCCCCGAGGGGGGGGACGACGGGGCCGCTGCAAGGGCCGACGCTGGCGTGTACTGAGGGGGTGTGGGGGGGGGCTGGGGGGAAGGAGACGACGCAGGCTGGGGGGCACTTTGGGGCTGCGTCTGGGGGGGGGTCTGCTGGGTAGATACAGTGGGCTGCGAAGGCTGCTGCTGCTGTTGCTGGTGTCCCTTTACAATGTCTGCAAGCGTGGATCCAGAACTGCCCCATCCCCCTGCCATGGGGCCCCGCGAGTAGAGGGGCCGCTGGGGCTCGCCACCTGGCGCAGCCACCCCGGAGCCCGCCGCAAGACCGCTGTATACCAGCGTTGCAAGAGGTTCAGCAACAGAAGCAAAAGCTGAATAACAGCCAGCTCCAGGAGAGATACAGCTGTTTTGCCAAAAGATGGTGTAACGGCTTACATTCTCCCCCTCACTGCCGCCTTCAAACAACCAAACTATGCACTGAACCCACCAGAGCCCTGAGGGGCACGGATAGTTTCTCTCAGATGCAGCCTCAAAGAAGTGAAGAGCTGACAATAGTGCATGCTGAGAGCTTACTTTGCAAGACCTTCCCAGTGCGCAACAGCGTGGAACTAATTCCCTATTACTCTTTAACTTTTGAGTGTTTCATAGCAAAATCAGCAGATTCCTCACTGAACCAGCACAGAAGAATCGAATGGACAGCTGGCGGGCCGTCCTCCGCATGCTCAGTCAGGCCGGTCAAAATGACAACTTTCTCTGGTAACTCAGTCGCCCACTCTAATCCCGACACAGCAAGTACGGGGAACTATGAACAAGCAGCGCCAAATGCACAAGCAAATGCAGTACTAAAGTCACCCTTTCTCCTCATGTCTGTGCTTTTGACTGTATTGCTCAATGACAGATAAGGTCTTTTGCAGCAGCTTGGAATTCCCAGCCAATGCCGCTCGATTTTTGGATGCCTCTCACCTCTGCCCTGTCCCTGGTAAAGATGACGCGCCGCTGCTGAAGGCCGGCGGCAACAAAGACGGTGGGGCGGCTGGAGGTGCTGCCGCAGGCGCTCCCCTGAAATCCAGAATGGAATCAGTGTCAGACAGCGTGCGTCATCCCAGAAACCTCCTCCTCCCACATTCTTGACCTCCCACTCTCTTGAAGCATTGCTCAGTACAGGGCCCATTGCCCGGGCTTTGCCTCTTGCATAAGATTGCTACTTGGCCTTTGCGTGACCAACGCAACTCAACAACACTCCCTTTGATGCTGAAATCCAAGCGACAATTCTCTGTCCCGCAAGCATGCTCCATCTTGCACCTTTTCAAAGGCAGAGTACTCGACATCTTGCACCTTTTCAATCACAGAGTACTCTACACAAAAAGCAACTGCTCCAGACACCAACAGAGCCGCCACACTGACCCCTGGGCCGGAGCAAAGGTGTGCTTCTGCTGCCCAGCTGCCGGCTGCGGTGCACCCCCGAGCGATGGGGGCCGCGGATGAATACCATTCTCCCTTGCAGGTGGGGGGCGCCTGACTCCATTTGTATCTGCATCAAAGCGGAAGGACTCTTTTCCACCTTCCCCACCCCGTTACCGCACGGTCTTGCACATTGCTCAGCAGGTCTTTTATCTCTCCTGGCGACTTTACTACCCTCCTGTGAACCCCTGTGTATAAATCAATTGAGTATGCTGAAGCATGTGTCAACCAAGTGTGCCCTTTTCAGGGTTGGTCACAGGTCCTAAATGTGCAGTCTACATCTACTCGGAGCAATATCCAACATTCTTGGCCACAAGTTGCCTCTCATGAGCCGCCCTCAAGCTCCTCAACCTGGTTTTGACTAGTGCGCATTAATCCTTGGCAAAACGTGTCAGGAATCCTACATTCATCGCTGCCCCAAACTGCCCCCCTCTAACGCAGAAAAATGCACTGACCTCCAGACCCTGGCCTTGATGCAAAACCACCCCGCCCTGAGCCCGGTCGATCCAACCCCCCGCTAATGCCTCCTCCACGTCCTCCTCGAAAGCTGCCCCCCCCAACGGGCGCTCTGGGCCTACCCTCCTGTGCAGGTGACTTACCCGCCGGTGTCTGCACAACCAGATACTGATTGATTGGTTTCCTACGTAAACTGCCTAAAAATCACAAAAGTACTTGCAAAAAAACCTTTTTCTGGATTTCTGTGATGCAAGCCTGACTGCTCAAAATGGTTTCATTCAATCTTGCTTGTGAAAGTATTGTGACACTCTGTACCCGCAATTGTACAACCGGATAATGGTGATAATGCTTTCCACATTCGCAGAACACTTACCTCCTTAATCTTCTTCTTCCGCTTGACGTCTACAAAGGGGTCTGCACGAAGATGAAACTTTTATCACAATTCAGAACAGGGCAAAGCACAAAACAAGCTCATTGTACGTTGAAGCACGTCAACTCAGAGTGCCATGTAGAGACAGATGGTTGCTCGATAGGGTTCTGTCCAGCAGCTGCAAGCGGCAGGATAGAGGAACGAACCTTGGTTGAGAAGTCTCTGCACGGCCTCATTCGGATCCATCCCACATGCTTTTAGCTCTGTGTAAATCTGATCCTCATCTGCTGAAGGCACTATCTCTTTCACCGACTGTACAAATTTCTTGGCGCTTTGGGGAATGCCCCCCGCCAAGGCCGGCTTTGCCGACGCTGCACCTGGCTTGCTCATGATGACAGACCCCCGCCTGCTCCACAGAGAGGGGAGCGAACAGACCCTCCTCCTACGAACAAAAAGCACCTTCTTTCAGGCGGTGGCGGACAACGATGGTGGACAAGACGCTACAAAATCTTCTGGTGGTGAATCCAGCTGGCCCTGAGGCTGCATGAGGTGGGCATTGTCAGAGGTGACCCGTTAATTGGAGAAACGATTGCAGGATACTGTTTACTTGCGTAACGCAGTGCTCACTATCAGTGAAAGCGTTTCACACATTCGCCGTTGCCAATGATCGCTCTCTAATCAGAGACTCGGACAGTCGAGGTGAACTCTCCTCGCGGCGGCCTCTTTGGCGGGTAATCCTCTGAGGAACATGACCTTCCTGGGCCAAAATGCTGCGCTTTAGCCTTTAACATTTCAAGAGCAGGTGCCGTAGAGGACTCGGTTGGGAGCTGCTTTCGCGGACCTCGAGCTGACGTGGAGTGTCGAAGTTTCGCTCGTGTCAGAGTATCTTCTCCTCTCGCGGACCGTTCACTGCACAATATCGAACGGTGCAGCGCCGGAAAGAGCCGGAAAAAGATCTGCTTCCAGACTTTAGAGTCAGGAGTCAGGATTCAGGACTGAGGACTCGATCAGCTGCTACATAGCGCATTGAAAGTTGCCAATTGGCTGTGCAAGGAGAACAGATCATCCTCAAGAGCGCAGCTAGCTTAGGCGACCCGTCTCTTCAGCAAGTCTTGAAGATTCCATACGAGGCCAAATATCGTAATGGGCAATTGAATGGGCTACCTAGAAAACCAAGCATGTCGCAATATGAGCACGATGAGCAAGTCGCATGCAGCCGTCGCACGCATCACATTAGTAGAGATACATAGTATAACTCGGACTACCGACCACTTTTGAAGATTGACAATAGACTTGGCCATACCCGCATTCAACATTTGTTAGTGACCGGATGTGAAAGCATGTGTCACGGGATGAAAAAGAGATGCTCAGAAATGGAGCAGGTGAAGCATAGAAGACCTCGTCTTTGACGCCTCGCATGTATCGTTGATCAACTTCTGCTCGAAGTACAAAGTAGATGTAGCTCCGAAGTGCAAAGCCAACTACGCAGCAGTCCCTTTGCCTGGTGGTGCATTTTCTTCTTTTTGTTTCTGTTCTTTAACTTGTTCTTCCGTCAAGGGGAGCCAATAGATGCATGGTTTGGCGGTTGTCTTCCGGAAGAGATCGTCAAGCGACCGCATGGCAGGCTCTGCACAGGTAGGGACAATCTGAGACTTCGACTTTGCTTGATCCTATTGAAGCAAGATAGCTTATTGTCGTTCCTTGCGATGGGTGCGAAGCACTCCCGACAAGCAGAGAGCACATCATTAGAGAACAAAACGCCCATGTGACCAATCAAGGACTGGCGCTACATCTTTGGCCCGCAAGACTGACAAAGTACATTCGCAAAAAGAAAACAGTAACGTGCTTTCACACCAACGGGTCTCTGAAAGGGTCTCACAATGAGCTACAAGTGGAAACTAACGAATTCCCAAATATGAGATCGACGCCAAGATGATGCATCTTAAGAATACTCGTACCACGTTATGAAGGCAGGTGCAGGGAGATCTTCCACAAGTCGTGGAGACTCCGTTTTACACTCTCTTCGCTCAATTCAATCATCAACAGCAAAGCTCTGCTGGACGGAATGACATCGTCCTGTCCAACGTCTATTCCTTCTGTGTAACTCGTCCTGATTCCATTGCGTCACGATGCTTCACCGCCAGCATTATTCCCATTAGCTGGACAAGGAGAGGGCTCACCTGCCACTACTGGAACGGGCTTCTCAGCGACCGGTAGAGTCAGCCTCTCCTTCACAGGGAGCACCACCCTCTGACTTGCCGTCCCCTTGGCAGCCTCCTCTTTTCCGGCGCTTCGGCTGGCCGCCGCCGCAGCATTTGGCGGAGGAGGCACGGCAGCCCCCTTCACTCTGCTCTCTACTTCCGACTCTGCAACGAAGCTGACCACCAAGTGCTTGCCCCCCAAGGGAGGCCACTGCAAGTTGAACAGGGCCTCCCGCGTGCGCACGGCGTCCTCGACGGATTTGAACTGCACGAAAGACGAGAAACGACGTGGCTGCTGAAATCACCAACTCCCAAGTTCTACCGCTCAACCACGGACAGGGCAATTCTGGATTCGGAGTACGAAACTACCGAAATTTCCCCAGAGTTTCTGAATGGTGGGGCGTCAACATGCCAATCGGAAGTACGGGATGTGGAATCAAGAGACAATACCGTGATTCAGTCCTCTGGCCAGAAAACGTCATTCTGCACACCTCATAAGTCTCAGAAAACGATATGCAGTCAAGATTGTTTAATACCATCACAGGCGGCAAGAACCCTTATGCTGATAAGTAGAGCGTTCTGCTCACAAATTACCAGATACTTGCGGCAAATGCGCAACTTGAGCCTTAAGCCAGATCGTCCCGGAGCATCATCTACGAAACTAGAGAGGACAGCTGTACAGCGACCAGCAGGGATACACCAGCAAGCCCTAAGAAGGTTACCAGATCTGCTGCACACCCTGTCTGCCTGCAACACGAAGGAAGCACTGCACTGCAGCCTGCAGCAATTGATCTACCTACATGGCGCAAGGGCAAAGGTCTTTCTCACCATGACAAAGCAGTGCGTCTTGATCGAGTCCATCCAGAATCCGTTCTCCTCAATGGTTCCAGTTTCGCTCAGCAGCGCACGAAGGGCCCTCTCAGTAAATGGCCGGACAAGGTTGTTGACACGCACCGAACGGGTTGCTGGACGCGCAGAAGCCGGGACTGTGTCCAGACAAGACAGAGAAAGGACTTTAGATCTGTTTTCAAGTCACTCAACTTTGTGGAAGAGACCTGCGACACAAAAAAGCTCGATGGCAGCAAATGAAGCAGTGGTCTCTCAGAAAGGATCTCAGAAAGAAACTTAGACCAGATGCATTCTGGTTTGCTACCACTCACCATCTCTCTTCCCCGCCTCTCCATTGCTCCTGATTGCCAGGCGAGCAATTGGCCTCGTCTGGGTCCTGTCTGCAGGTCTTACGCTCTTCTCCTGCTCTGCAGGCTTGCCTTGTGTATCCTCCTTCTTGTCTGGACTGTCATGCCTTTGAACGGGCTTGCTGGTCTGCACACTTCGCTCTTTCGCTGCCTCCACTTTCTGGAACTTAGCAGGGCGGCCCTCCTTTTCACCTCCATTCTCCAACCTCCCATCTGCACGCATCAGGATTGGTGGGGCATCAAGTGACTATCATTCAAAAGAGCACATATGCAGGCCCGAGCAGTGCACACGTAGAGCCGGACAGTGTCTGGCATGACCGGTGTCATTCGTACCCCTGCATGCATCCCGCATTTTCAATTCTTCATCCTCCTGAAAGCCATGTTTAGCCATCCGCACAGCAGAGCACACTCGATGTGGTGCTCATGGGGGTTGCGCAATGTTCTCGCTAAGAGTTAAAGGCCTGCATCTCTTCTGACACAAACCTCACCTTCCTTCTGACTCCTCTTTACGCCGCTCTCTCGCCTGGGTTCTTTGCCCATTTCACCTTGCTCCTCTTCCATTGCACTACTGCTTGGAACGCTCGTGTCGACTCCGCTCCTGTCGGGATGCTCAGTTGTTGGAGGCTGTTCCACTGTCTTGGGCTGAGCATTCTCAAGCTGCAAAACACACGGTCTAGCGTTCTGAATCGTTCTGTCAACCTGATGAAACCTCGTGTATCTTGTAGGCTGGCATTGCAACAAAGGAACATTGCTGTCATCCGCGCATTGAGCGCTTCAACAACTGTTTCATGGCCTTCATCACATGCAAGCAATGCAGCCACGTAGCGAAGAGTCAGACCGTGCCGCCTGAAACCCCACGACAAATCACACCACCGCAGGCGATGGTACATACCGCTTCGCCCTCTGCCCTGCCTCCTCCCTCACTTGGACCCAGAGCACCATCAGACGCTTCAGGTTTCAAAAGGTCTCCCGCTTTTTCTACGGAAGGAGCTTCGGGTGGTGGACCTCCCACAGGAACCTCTGCAGGGCCAGCCTCAGGCGCTTTGGGATCGTCAAGGCGGGTGTCTTCAATCTGAGTGTCAGAATGCAGCTCAGGCTTAGCGTCCTCCTTGCTTCCATTCTCCGCAGGCAGTGCTGGCGCAGTGTCCCGTCCATAATCCTCAGGGGCTGTTGCTGCAGGAGCTTCAATTTCAAAAGGGCCCCTGGCTGAGATGTGGGCATCTGCTTCAGCCGGCTGCTGTTCCTTCTCTGTCTTTCCAATAATCAAAGTCTCCGCCACTGGAGACAGCACCGGAGGGTCTTCTGTAGTTGCCTTTCCATCTGCAACCATCTCTGGTTCTGCAGAAAGATCCTCTTGCTTCTTGGCGATCTCTGCAATCTCCATTTGATTTGCGACATCATCAGCCGCTCCATCTTGGTCGGCAACAGTGTTGGTTTTTGCCTCTGCCTCAAGCTGTTCAGACTCTATGAGTACTGGTTGGCTTTCCTGCCGAACCGCTTCTGATAGCCGCTCTGCAAGCTCCGCCTTTAATCCCTTGAGCGGAAGACCCCTCTTTTTCAACTCCTCTTTCAACTCGGCAACCTTCAGCTGCCCGATCTGCGCTTGGTCCATTGCGAGGCTAACCGCTGTCAGAAAAGCTAGCTTTGACCTTTGAAGTGGGCAGTAAGACGGTCTAGAACCACGTCCTCCCTTGGCTTTCTGCTCTGTCGCCTCGATCAGAACAGGCTGAAGAAATGTTGGGTAGCAAGCTCGAAAGATGGCAATGGCATGCAAGAAAGTGTTCAATCCTTCAAAAAACTCGAATTGGCAAATGGTGCAACCTTTTCGGTGTGACAAAGTGTGACATCAAAGGGTGCTTGGCGCAGAGTGTCAGCTTTGACACCGATCATTTTTTCTGAGGTTTCGTGCCAAAATGGCTGTCAAACAGAGTCGTGCTTTTCTCAGGGACTTGCAGAGTGGCTTTGCCAAAGCAACAACTTGAACTCGAGCTCGAAGGTGGTGCAGAGCATCATCAGGCGCGCTAGGCGGCCGTCACTTCCTTAGCTCGAGCCCCTCGCACTTATCTGCAGCTGTATCGGCAAAGTCAGATTTGCAGTAATCGGCAAAGGGTGGCTGTGCGACTGTGAGGCCACGCTTCGACGGGCGATCAAGCGGAAGGTAAGCTGGACGAGGCGCAGACAAAAGGCAATGGTCTCCGCAGCTGACGTTGAAAGTCATTCAGAATGTAGACGTCTATGTATGTCCATCAGTTTGTCTGGATTGTTCGTTCACTTCGTTTGACATGAACGACTTGTTGATCAGCGGTGTGCCTTAAAATTACCACTGTGGCCTCATTGGTGAGCAAGGCGCTGTCTCGTCCTTGTTTTTCGGTCCTTGACCATGTGACTTCTTTCCGTTCTGAGAGCAATTAGATCGAAGAGTTGTTGCTTTCTTTCATGCGAGCCACCCTGGCCCAGGATCTTAGCATATCCACTGAATTACACTATTTCTCCCCCATTTGAAAGGGGTTGAATTGGAAGCACGGTGAGGATGTCTGAGTAGTGACGTGAAGTCATTCTCTGCTAGTTTCAGGTGATCTTGAGGTTTGAACTTTGTGTTCAATGGCAAGATCACCGTCACGGTCTCCTGTGCGCCGAGATTCCCGATCCCGATGGCGGTCTCCCTCGGCGTCACCTAGCCGCTACAGCTCAAAAAGGGGCAGCAACAGAGACAGAAGGGTGCGGAGTCGAACGCCGCCACGCAGGTTGGTCAGCCTCTCAATAACAAATATTCTCCACATAGTTCGGTCATTTCTCTTCCATAGTGGAACCTGCGGAAGCAAGAGGTTTCAGTGGAGACAAAGCACCCGAAGCAGAGTATCAATGCCGCAAGGATGGTAGAAAGTGTTGATCAGGGAGGTAACTTTTGCCATCAAGGCCTTCTGCTTCAGGCTTTCGTGAGATGATAGGCCCTCTGCCTTGTTAAGTAGACACGATTTGATGGATAATCAAAGGAACAGATCAGAAGGGGCACCGAGAAGGGGCACCGAGAAGGGGCACCGAGAAGGGGCACCGAAGGCAGGATGGGTTGGTCAACTTGATCGAGGGGACACACAAGAACCTAGACAGTGGTGCGAGGCTGGCTTTCGTTCTGGTGGCATGTTCCACCTCTTGTCGTGCCCTGGCATCAGCTTGGTTCCGACTTGGAACACATGGTCCTGGCCGCTGCAGCCATGCAACTTTCTTTTCGATGACCCCCTCTGAAGCAGACGCCGCCATCAATTACCCCCTGCGGAGGCTTGTCGTGTCTGCAGCCCTCCGCCCTGAGCACAGTGAGCCTGTTCTCGGTACGCTGATCGCTGGAGAAACTCGCTTGGTCGCCAATGGCTCCGACACGCTTGCTTGTCTGTCATCCTTGTCAAGTTATTCACAGGTTAAGGTCGCCTGCAACTGTTCCTTGTTGGAAGTTTCTGCTTAGCACAAGCAGGAAGCAGCCATAGTTACTAGGCGCACTGTCCATACGCAAACATTTGCTCTGCAGGAGACGCGACCGATCCTCATCGCCACAACGCTACAAACGGCGGGCTAGTCCTAGTCCGGTGAAGCGAAAGCGCAGTCCTAGCCCTGTAAAGCGCCGCTACAGCCCAAGTCCCCCCCCTCCTCCATCTCGAAAGTCACCACCCCCATCGGTTTCTCCTGAGAGGAGTCGTAGCTCGTCTGTTGAGCGGCGTTTGGCCCTGGAACGGGCTCGCGAAGAGCGGGAGGCGGAGAAGAATCGAGAGGAAGAAGAACGGAGAAAGTGAGTTGTTGTTTACCTGATTGTGCTTCGAGGCACAGGCATAAGCTGTGAGTGGGGGTGGCAACGAAGAAGAGATTCAACGGGAGAGCGAGTCTGGTTTTGAGATTGAGAGTCGATGTGAGGTCTCGCAAAGTAATGCTGACACGCAGATTTTGAACAGCATTGCAGTGCAGTACTCCCTTCGAACTTGCATCCTGCACCCCTTAATGATTTCGTATGATAATATCGACAGAGTTAGTAGCTCCAGAGGCAAACGCTGACGCCAAGTCCTGTTGACTTGGAAGTGAACGTTTGCGTGTCTTGCAGTCCCAAGTGAAAAGAAGAGGTGCTGACGTTGGTGCTCCACGCCTAGGAACTCAAAGGTTGGCGGCATCTTTTGCAGACAGACCACAGTATAGTTATATACGGCTGCACACGAATGACGCATTTCTAGAGGGGAATTTGACCGGTGACCCTCATCCCGGATCAACCCAATCCAGCGAATCTTACCCGGAAAAAGAATGTTGCACGCACGCATGGAGCTTCACATTCGACGCTCCTCTTCCAGGCGCCAGCAAGAGGCAGAGCGGCGAATCATCGAGGAGGAGACGGCGCGCCGCATTGAAGAGACGATACGGAAGCGCGTGGAGGAAGCTTTGGCTTCGGAAGACGTGAAGAAAGAGATGGAGGAGCGGCTTCGGCGTGGTCGAGAGAGGCTGCTTCAGGAGGTAGAGGAAATTCTGGAGAAGGAGCGGCAGGCCGCCTTGGAAGAGGCGAAACGAAAAGAAGTAAGTCGAGCAGTATCTCCCCTGGTTAGCCCCCAAAGGACCCCGGGTTGGAGGGGACTGCGCTTGGAATACTGTGCTTGAGTGCCGTTTTTAAAAGCTTCGATGCAGAGGGATCAACTCGACGAACAACTCAACTCTGGTTTGCCCATCCTGACCTGTTCTGAAGTTCTCGGACTCGTCTGTATTTTGAAGAGAGATTTCGAAGAACATAGCAGCCAGCTTCACCTCTGAAGTCCGAGTTTTCTTTGACTTTTCCGAATGCTTTGTAAAAGTAAGTCCCCTTCGTTGGGTGGAAAGCGCCTTTTCGTCGATATCTCGCCGTTGTATGCACCTGCAGGAGCTTCAAAGTACAGATCTTGTAGAATTTGCCTCGAAGAGTCGGCTGCAGAGGCAAGCGTGACGGGACAAACATACTCCTGCTTCTCCTCGCGTTGCTGAGTGCGACTTTTTGACTTCGTTTCTGCAGGAAGAGGAGCGGCGGCGACTTGAAGAGCTGGAAAACATGCTGAACGAGAACCAGAAGAAAGTAGAGGAGGCGCAGAAGCGTGCGGCAGAAGAACGACGAAGGCAGGAGGAAGAGCGATTTAAGGAGCTCGAGAACTTGCAGAAGCAGAGGGAGGAAGAAGCGAAGAGGAAACAGCAAGAAGAAGAGCTGATAAAGATAGAGCAGATGAAAATTCTAGGGAAAAAGAATGCGAGGCCGAAGGTTGCATTTGGCTTTGGCTTCAAGTAATTGAAATCAACCTTAGAAAGAGTTGCACTTACTGAATTTGGCGTCAAAGGTTTTGGCGCACGATGTACAGGTGTCTCCACTTGCTCAAGCTCACTACGTGCTTTCTACCATGCTGTAGAGATCGAGCACCATGAGCGCCTAGTAGCAGAGCTTTGGACTGATAGTCAGGTAGGCGTTTCGATCTTGATGGTGTGATCACATCTATCCGGAGGCTGGCGGCCAAGCATTGTTACTCGAACTTACACATTCAACATGTTGGCTGGCGCCGTAACCATGTTGTATAACAAAGATGCAGTCGACTGCATAGACGGCTGGCCGGAAAAGCAAACCGGTTTGATCAGCATAGCGTTCAAGAAGTACCTCCAGGACCCGCCCCTAACTCATTGCTCCAGATTGAAAGTTGGTGAAGATCCGCCCGCAGCCTTATCTATCTAGGACCGTCGATGGGCCCATCGACGGTGTGTGCAGCCCTCAGCCAAATTGATGAGTGTCAATCGCGACTAGTATGTACAAAAAGCGGTACACTTTCTGTACAGGTTCTACCGCCGCGTACGGTCAGTATTTAAAATCAGCCACGCGGCGCGCGCACAAGTATTCCACTTGTCCTAGTATGTCAGAAAATGTGCTCGTACGGTACGGTCGACCAAATTTTGCGGACCTGCCTCTACGGTACATGTAGACTCAGCTGGCCGTTGTCCGCGGTACCTAAATTAGATTTGCGCAACTGCATGTAGAGGAGTCCCGTCGATTCAAACCCGTGTGCACTAGAGCACTGCGCAGTTCAGTGCCGTGTGCAGTGCGATGACGGCAGGTCGGTCGGGTCAGCACGGGGGACTCTGCGCCGGGAGCAGTCTGAGACCTAATTGTATCACGCTGTAGTGGCCGGTAATACAGCCGGTTGAAAAACTACTTCCCGGTAGCTCAAAGTGGGGGCCTAGCCGCCCCTCAACACCAGGTTTGGACCTGGGACAGATGGCGTTCACCGATTCGATCTTATCCTGCGATCGAATCTTGGGTGAAATTTCCCGACCACTTCTCCATCAAGCAACCGGGCACTTTTAGGGGCGGGTCCGCGAGGTTGTTCAAGAACGCTATGCAGCCGCCTGGCATGTTCAATACTATATACCGTCATGCAGTATACCATCCGCGGCCCGGTACCTTGACATGTGTATCATTATAACCTTTGTCAGCACTTACGCTATGAAATTTCTGCATGAATGACGCGGTCATCATTGGAACGTACATACCAAGTACAGAAATTGTGGATATGTACGGCACGATCCATGCTTACGTGGTCGTGTGCAGTTTGCAGAGGGTCGGGCCAGCACGTCATCATTCCCAGGTAGAAGCACGCAACTGGTAATACGAGTACTCAAGACCGCTGCCTATGCGCACGGCAGGGCCAGCATATTTCAAAGAGCAGAAACGTCCAGAATCAGATGGTTCTCAACCGATCAAATTACTTCTGCATGCCAGTGACCAGGGGAATCCGTTGTGACCTTGCCGTTAAATGGATGCTGCAAGACAGTCCTGCAGCTGTATGCTGAAAATCCGCGCTTACAACCTCGTGGATGTCCCAGTCGCCGCATCTTACTACAAAATTGCCCACAGCCACGCTGCTTCGTTGTCCCAACCCTTATTGCATCGCGCTGACCACCTTTACAGCAACCTATCACCCATCAATCAGACTTGAGTGTTATGCCTGGACCGAACTTCATTTCAAGACCAGATGTCACGCACGTAGCGCTTCTCTTTCACCATGTTATTGAGCAGCGCGGTTGCGTCTCCCTCCGCCATCTGGGCACCGTCGACCAGCACCTTCACAAGCGCCGCATGGACGTCCCTGGCCATGTTGACCCCGTCCCTGGGAGGAAGCACAACAGTGCGTCAGCCTAAAATGCAAGGATTTTTGCGTTCGGCGTGACTGGAGTTTAAGCACCAAAAAGCCCCAAAAACAGCCCGCTTCAGCCGCAGATTGTTGCTGAAAAGGTCGGCAAGATGGTGGTTGACCCCCGTGACTTACCGGACCGGCTATCTTTCTGGCTATCCAGGTGAATAAGGGAAGTACATGCAGAAAGCTTTAGATGGCTTATTGCGGCCTTTCGCCGCTGGACGCACTCACCCGCAAATGAAGACGTGCGCTTTCCCGTGCTGAATCAAACTCGCCAACTTTTCGGCATGCTCGCTCAGCTTGTGCTGCACGTACACCTGCGAGAGAGATACGGCGTCGAGAAAAGCACTTCGGCGAGGTTGGGAACTTTCTCATTGCTCTTTGGAACCGTTTGAGACGCCGCATCGACCACTTTGATCATCGCCAAATGCACCATATCAAGTCTCCTACGTCTATCTTCAGATCCGATGAGCCCACGGCTAGGTCCGAATCAAGACAAAGCTACTGTGCCACCCCTCAAGTCATGCTAGCTTCCAGCTCTCAAGCTTAAGTCGTCCTATTATCAGAAGTCCATTCGCTTGAGACCCCTCTGGCGGAGAGATTCAGGCGCTGAGCAAGGCTTTAACAATGATCAGTAAGGCTTTTGAAAGGGCTTCGAGAAAGAGTAGCAAACTTGAATGGGCTCAAGGCGGGATCACGATAGCCCGTTCTTCGTGGCCCCCCTCAGTCAGCAGCGAGCAGAATTCCAACTCCTCGTAAAACACATTTCTGGGCGACGAAGTGCAAAGTACTAAGGATTCCTCCCTGAGCCCCACCTTTGCGTCTCCCGCGCGCGAGAACGCCGTCACCAGCTTGGTCAGCGTTCCGTCCGTCTCGAACTTCCGCAGATCCTTCTCGTACAAGAAGTCCTCGTCTTCCTTTCGGCACCCAAAGAAGAGCCACGCCGGCCCCGCTTCGCCCCCTGCCTGCAACCGTTCCCTTCGCTGCTGCAGAAATCCCCTGAACGGCGCAACGCCCGTCCCCGGACCGATCATTAGCAGCGGCGCGGTTAAGCCCTCCGGCAGCCGGAAATCGCCCCCGCTCTTCAGGAAAACGGGCACGCTTACACGGGCGGACGGGTTAGCGACGAACTGGCGCTGCGTCTTCGGGTCAAGCCCTAACCGCCGCTCTAACCAGGAGGTGCAAACCCCGTGGAAGACTCGCCCGTCACCGGTTTGCTCCTTAACAACGCTAAACGCGACTTGGACTCTTCCCGGGGCGTCGTTTGCGTTGCACGTGACGGAATACATTCGCGCGACGAGGGGCGGCAAGCTGTCGAGCAGGTGCGCTAGGTCTGGCTTGCAGGACGGGAACCTCTTGAGGATCTCGAGCAGGCTGGGCCGCACCTCCTGGATCTGGACCTTATAGGCGTCCCGCCCTCCCCGGCTCGAGAGCATCAGCAGTTCCGTTCGCTCGGCCGAGTCCGCGCAGTACTCGGCCAGGACGCGGAGCAACCCCTTCCGCGCGACGGCTGTGACGTCACAGTGCCGCAGGAGCGCCTCGCGCAGCGTGCACGGCCACCCCACGTGGCCCAGCAGACGCGCGCCTCCTGCCACGTCAGCACTGCCATCGCCTTGCCCCGTGCCGACGTCATCGACAGCGGCGACCGAGAAAACTCGCCCCCCATCAGCTCCCAGCCGTTCCAGCAGACCGTCGACGAGCTCGGGCCGGTTCTCGGGGAGGACGCCTAGAGAGTCGCCGGGCTTGTAGCTTGCGCCAGTCCGCGCAATGTCCACCTCTAGGTGAATTACGCGCCGGTCCGACCAGCTCGCAGTCATGTACTCGGCCGCCGTTACCTCTGCACTGAACGGGTGCGCCGCACTGTATTCAATCGTCGGATTCCCGTTCTCCAATGACGTCACTGTTCCGTTTGTTGCTGACGACAGCTTCCCATGTGTTCTGATGGTCTCTGCCCCTTGCCAGATGAGTTTGATGCGGCTCTTTTGCAGGGGGGGCACTCCGACCAGCTTGCTCTCTTTGCTTGCTGGGGGGGGGTTGGCGGTTCCATTGGGGAGGGGGGCAACGGAGGGGGGGTTGGCGCCCTCGGATACTGCGGCCTTGAGTGCGTCCCAGAGACCCTCCTTCCACTTGTCGATGACGTCCTCAAGCCTGCATAAGGCATGAAAAAACGCCTCAATGGTTGCTCAGAAAGAAGGAAGTTTTTGATACAGCTATGCCTTGCATTAGCAGCGCAAACAACCTTCTGACAGTTGCACGTGACCTGAGGGGTACTGGAGTCAACTAGAGTTATTCAAAAATGGATTGGAAGGAGGAGTCAATAGAATCCAAACAGTTGCATTTTTGCCCGATATGAAAAAGTAGACACTGCTTTGAGCATGCAAGCACCACAAGTACAAAAGATCACAGAGGTAGCTGGACGCTTGGCCAAATGATCAACAGAGTACCAGGGACGATCCTTGGCCGTTGACATAGGGCACTCTGGAAACGCATGATTCCAGATACTTAGCAGCTAGAGCAGGAAGCATTTGCATTCCCAGTACTCTGCAGGTGTTACCACCACCCCCTCATTGTCTTTACAGAGACTTTGCAAAACCTTTCAGCCCACACCCTACAAAACACTTTGTAAGCAGGACGAACAAGCAACTCACCGAGGACCTTTCCACAGAGACTAGGTACGAGCAAGGAATTAGGGGCTGAAAAGGGGAAAATGAGAACGGAACATACAACATAGATTTTCCCAAGTCTGCCCAACATTAGCTGGAACCTTTGATCATTCTTGGGCTGTGTTAGCATATTGGCATGTTTAAAAAATTAAAAAAAAATTAAAAGAGAGACCATTCAAGACAAGGCAAACCCATCGTCTGCCCATTCACTCACCCATCCACCTCATCCGCCTCGCAGTTCTTGTAGAACCGCTTCGCGCCCAATTCCGGCAGCCGCGATGTGAATACCCTCGGAACCCCCATGTATGTCGTGTAGTTCGAGTCCCCCAACCCGAGCACTGTAAATTGCACCCCCGCAAGCAGATCTGCTGCGTGCGTCCGCCTCTTGAGGGCGTTGTGGAAGCGCTCGCAGTTTTCAGGGGGGTCACCGTCTCCAGTGCTGCTCACGACGAAGACGGCGGCCTTGGTGGTACCAGGGATCTTGTGGAGGGGCTTCTCGTCAAGGGCCAGGACGCGGCTGGCGATGCCATGTGTCGCCGCCTGATTGGGAGAGGGAAGCTATCAGCAGTGCAGGGTATGAATTAGTTGATTGAATCATACAAAATTAAATAAATAGATCAATTAGTCTGGGGCCTGAGTTAGATCTAAACCAGTGGGAATTCAAAGGGGTAGTGTGGTCTTGGCGCCCACGGAGTCACAGATCTGAAACTGATTGTATCAGGGCCCTTTGCTATAGCAGAGCGCCTCTTCTAAGACCCCATGTGAAATTACTCTGACCCGCAAGGCAGCAAAACCATCTGCAAAACGCCATGGACGGTGCAAACTGCAAAATCAGTTCAGTCGATTCAGACTTCACTTCATTGAAGCACTCGCTGCCACCCTGAGCCAACTCAAAAAACATGATGATGACAACAACTCTTCAAGCAGTCCAGAGGCTGTATCACATGATCAGATCCCTCTTGAGTCTGATCCCTTCGAACTGCAGCACTCACCTCAGCATTCAAACTCTTGGCGACTTCCATGGCATTGCCCGTCTGAGAGCCGTACAGGAAGAGAGTCTCCCCAGAGCTCCTTGAAGCAGCTTCTAGTTTGCTCTTCCTAAGAGCAGCCGCCCTAGCCAGCATTGCCGGACCAGTCATCGGAGCTGGCACGCTAGGGTTTTGGACCTCAATTGCCTTGGGGCCTGCCGCAGGCAATCCTTGGTTGATCGGATCTGCGGCAGGCTTTTGATCTGGAACGGGCGGGATGCTTTGCTTGGATTCGCCTGCTGACTTCACACTTGATGGGGAGGTGGTGGTTGCATGCGCAGGCTTCTGATCCGCCGCCGCTGATGTTAGCGAAGCATCGGCACTTTGATCAAATCTTGCAACTTCTGGCACCGGCCTGGATGTATCGCTGTCCTTGGAAGCAGGTCCGTTTGCCAGTGTGGATTCCTGGGGCCCCCCATTCGCATCAGATGTTTTGATACCCTCCTCTTTTGTAGCTTGCTTTTGGCTTGCCTGATCAACAAAAACGAAGCCGGCTACCAGAACTACCCCTGCGACGATCACGGGCATGAGAAAGAATACCAGCGTCCAAAACGGGGGCGTGAGGACAAGGATGGAAAGGAGAAGGTAGGGCCGTCTCCGCACAAGTGTCATGACTTTGCTGAGCAACCCCGCATGCTGCGAAGATGCATCCACTGGCGCCGTGTCCCCCATGATGACGAGATTGGTGCTGAAAAGAATATTGAATCCCCTCAAAAGTAATACCTACAGGTTAAATACAAAACCAAGTAGATACCTATTACCCAGTCACAGTGCCACGTCGTAGGTGGCGGCTTTATGGTCTGATTCTCTTGCTCTCCTCTTCCCATGACGAGCTCTGCAAAAGTGCCTCTGAAAAGGATCTGCGAGTTTCTCTAGATTAGGGTTTGGAGGAGGCTTGAAACCCTATCAGAGTGCAGGTCAACAGTTGCGGCTCTCCAGCAGCTCAAGCCTGATGCATGGAAGTCGAAACGGGCCGAAGCCACCTGCAAGGGCGCTGCATTCAGCTGCATTCCGGAGATGAGGAGCTCCTGCAAAGGCTTGCCATAGTACAACGCATCACAGGGCCTTTGAACCTCTTTGGGTGATGATTTTCCATGAAGAGCTTTCAATTTTCCAGCCCAACGCTCCATCAGAGACATGCAAGAGACCGGCACATTGCTCTGTCAGACAGCAATCGTCACGCGTCAAGTATTGTTGCTTTCCTTGAAGCTAAGTCTTTGAGCTGCTCGTAGTGGGTGTGTTCCTAGTTTCTCACAAGCTACCAACAATCTGCTTGAGTGTCAGTATTAGATCCTGCTGAGAGGAAGGTTCCAGCAGAGTTAGGCCATGGCTCCAAACTTTCAGACCCGGAGCATCAGCTTAAATCCATTTAGGCGAGACACACGTTCTGGATATGAGAGTGCTGTCTACTCGATGCTTGAAGATCCAGTGCTCAAAGATGTCCCGGCCAACCCCTCTGTTGAAGACATAGATAAGTTACTGGCTGTTGAAATGGGGTCGGCAATGAAGCTGACAATAAAAAAGCTGGATGCCACAAGTTTTGGTGAGTGACGTTCCCTCTTCTCTGGGACCTTCATTTGTGTCGATGAAGGTCAATCTGCTTCAGGTGCTGCACTTATGTACGATTTGAGTGGACATTCCAGATCAGATGTATACTGGACTTCCTGCTCATCCTGGGGCCAAGCCTTTTGTCTTTCTCACTTCCCCTTTCTGCCTGTTTGCGAAGCAGAAAAGATCTGGATGGTGCTGAGTTGCATCAGACTGAAATGATGGCCGTGGTCGACATAAGGTCTCGACCAAACAAATGTAAGTTTCTTCTGTGCAGAGGTTGCGGTGTTGAGTTCTGCCGATGTCAGGGACTTGAAGAGGGCCATAGAGAAGGCGGTGGATGAAAAGACTGCGGAGGAGTTGGGGCAGCGCAGTGTATCATGGTAAACACCGCCTCATCTTTACTTAAAACATCTCATCCAGTAATTTACATGACTTCAAGTTAGGGCTGGCGCGACTCTGCTTAACTATCGATTCGCACGTAGTGGATGTTGGCCGGGGAAGGATGCAGGCTTGTAAGATCATTGGAATATAAAGCCTCAGCGCGAAGGAACGTTAGATTCAAATAGGAGAAGCGGGGCAAAGAGAAATGTTGGTTCCTCCTTCACTACTCGCAAATATTGCTGCTTCTTACATGTGATCTGCTTCTATTTCCACCTCACACTGGTGACCCGGCTTGCTATCATGTGCAGGAGTCATGTGTGGGGCAACTTTACGTTGGCATTCAAGGGGCAGCGGTTCTTGGATGACGACGCGCCCCTCAGGAAATATGACCTGCGGCATAACGACATAGTAAGCAACGCTTAGAACCCACCTTCTTGCGGGTTGGAAGCGACCAAATCGAGCCAGAAGCATACAATGGCAGAACATACAATGGCCGGTGTGTTTCGAATTCCATCCAGAGCTAGCTCAGGTTCCGCTTTCCAGGTGTGCGCCTTGCCTTCGATACCTTCTTGAGGTGCATGCTGTGGCCTTTCAAATTGCAGATCTGCCTGTTCACCGTAGCCGTTTCTAGCCTGCGTGTCTCGTCTACTTGTGGCCCTTCAGTAGCGACTCGTCAACACGCATTATGCTTCCTAGTTGAAACTTCGAAAGACTGACGTAGGGCCCCATTCCGCAGATCGACTTCGTCCATCACATCCCTTCGAAAGAGGCCGGGGAACATTCGCAAGCAAAGAAAAGCCGATTTTTTCACAGTTTATCTGCTAGGCTTCTACCGAAAAGCCTAATTGAATAGGAAGTTGACGCTTAGTTCTTCTCGACTTTGTGCCTGAGATGATCGTGAGCTTCAAGATCTACGTCGATCTTGAGGCCGGAATGTCGAAGGGTCTACAGACTGTGCAAGGTGCGCAGCTCGCGAACCATCATTCGATCCAATTGGACCTTTCTAGTTCAGTACATATTTTTGTTGACTCGCGCTTGCCAGTCGCTGCCAACGGAGGCTGTTTATTCCAGGACAATAAAGTAGTTCTAGATAGAGTATAAAATCTGTAACTTACATAGTTGCACTAGCTGCTTTCTATATCAAGTTTCGCTTCACTATAGAGTCGCCCTTCCGAATCTGTGCAAAGCTCACTAGCTGGCTCCTTAATTTCGAAGTATGACGACGGTACCTTTAACAACCCGTCAGCTCAAAATGGTCGGCCCAGGTGTGGCCGCGAATTGCCGGGAAGCGGACTGCGTTAGTTGCAATTCAATTCTATATTGCATGCACGACCTGGCAGAACTTCTTTGAGCAGATGTTCATAAGTGTCATACCTTTTAATGCATGCCTAGGCAAGCATGTATATATGTGATCAGACATGCGCATGCGGCTTGTGCGGCAGCCTGGATATTAGTGATCGAGCCTGGTCATTGCACGCAGTTGCACTTGCAGCCGCCCATTTGCCCGCGATCTCCTTTTGCCTACCCATTTGATACGCGTTTATTACAGTGACACGGCCGTTTTTAGAGTTTGCCGCGTGAGGCACTATAGTGTGCATAGATCCACTGTCTGCATGTATTGCAATAATCATCTATGCCGCCCTCAGCTGTTTAATGACAGACGTTGACCGTTGCATGATGTTTGTTTGCCACGTCTAGACTCAAACGCAGCGATACATTGGCTTCACACCGAGTTGCTGATACAAATGTGCCCTGAAAGCCGCAAGATTGTCAATATCACATAAACAAGCAGACGCGCGGTATATAGCTCGCCCTTCTTCCAGATTCAATGAAAGTTCCGGAATCTACGCATGATCTAGAGTTCCATTGGTCCTTGCAGAAACATATATGAAAGCTTTTGCCGTCATAGTCCGTCAATAAGAACCTCCAGATCAAGGGCATCTTATTATCATTTTCATGTTGCGGCAAACTGGAGCACGCTATCATGAACGAACGCGTAGTTCGAAAGCAATTTCGAGGGACCGGTCACATACTCCCCATCATCCGCGACTGAGTGAGTTTGATAATGTCAATGCTCTACTCTTTTGATGTCGAAAGGTTTCATCTTGATACTAGACCGAGGGTCTGGTTCGGGGTTTGAAGAAAGTTGTTGAAGAAAGTCAAAAAACGAGCACACCACCGCACCACTAAGCGGGTGGGTCGTGCCCAAAGTCTGATCCAGCCACAACGTCATCAGACAGCTCACAAAACACTTGGCATGGCAGCAGTGCAAGTGCCAGTCACCCTGATTCAACGGCAGAAAAATCTTCCCTGGTCCAGCATTTACCAAGGAAGTGGGCGACTGCACTCTGAGAAACCGAGAAGAGCTTTAGATGTAACCTCCTGACAGTAGCAGCCACAAAAGGAAGAGAGTATACGACATGTTCACAATATCTGCTCCTGAAGTCAAAGTCAATGCTCAATATGACGGGGCGTCTAGAACAAACGCCAACTGCCCACGGACTGCCCACCTTTCAGACAATGTCACCAGCTCATAATCTAGTTTGCCACGAAAGGTTCACAAGACAGCCACTTCTACTCTCGTTGACTGGAAACAAGCTACACGTTTTAGCATCCCTAGCGCTTCAAGCTCAGCATTGAACTGTAAAATTTCTTATCAGGTCCTTGTTCGATCTCGATAAATTTGACAAAATATACTTCATGGAACTGCTAGCAATCCACGTCGAAAGTTCCAGATTAAGAAATACCATGAATGTGGCATGGTAGTAAGCAAGGCTGTGTTGATTATACGACTCTCGAAAAACATTGAAACCAGCAACAGCCTAGTACGTTTCAACCATGTCCCACGTAGTAAGAACTGGGCAATCTCGACATCAACTACTATCAATATTGTTGCACGAGACGTCCACTTAATTCAAGTGCGCGCGTAATCAGCGCAGGGGTGCGGTGATCGCGCAGTGTCTATCAATGTGTTCATCAGCGCTCAATTGAAATCGAGTTACTATCGGGAACTATTAGCAAGCGCCACTTCGAATCTTGATGCATGAAGAGGGACGGCCTGATGAATCTCGATAAGACCATTTGACCTGCTTTAGTTCCTTCTTTTGTAAACTTGACGAGCCACGTCCACAAGGATGACAAGGAGCAGCTCTGGGCTCCAACCTTGATTACACTCACCTTGTGTCATGCATCTTGCAGTCTTGGCCACTTTTTGCCGAGTCACCATCCGATGTCAGCATCCCGGTCAGCATTCCAAGGGGCCAGATCATGGTCACAGCCGGCGCCCAGCGGTGTGAAGAGAAGCAGTCGATCGTGATAAAGCGACAAAATGAAACTTGAGTTGGCTTAATCGCTTAAATATACTGTGAACAAAAGCGACTAGAACATTCCTTGTACCGTGCAGCCCGGCAGCACGGCAGTCGAAGGGCCAAGCTGGCTGCGCGGATGTGAATCTCAATACTTTGTAGCTTGCTGAGGACTCAGTAGCTAGAGATTTGCACAGAGTGTCACAGATGATTGCGCAGGGCAGAAACCAGATGGAAATTCTTACCCTTTTGTCAAGTTCGGAGAAATCAAGATGCATAGAAGCTGGCGCGCGCGCACTGCTGCTGTACAGGCGACCAGCAGTGTGTCACACGAGATTCCCTGTCACCTGATGACCAGCTCGTATTCAGGTTCATCTTTGCACTGAGCTGAAGGTTTTCAAACCGCCCCGCTTGCAGAACCCAGATCGCCTCGGATTGAAACAGGGTCGGTGTACGCTAGTCTGTCACTTCTGTCACTTGTCATGCTGTTATATGATATACCGCTATGATATGGCTCGTGAGTAGGCTCCCATCGGAGGCAGTAAGCCTGAGGCCATGTTTCCATGTTTCACAAATCAGGCGATGGACTATGCTCCCTCTTATATGCTCTTTCCAAAGGCCTCGCAAGGACGATCATTTACCGGTTGCATGTCGAACGGCGCTGCAAGGCGCGCCGCCAAGGTCACAACTGATCATATCTGTATCACATATCCATACCTGATACGTCTCTTTTTGAAGCTGGTTTCACCTCAGCTAGCTGGTGAATCGAGGTGGTGCCATAGCTGGTACGTACATCCCTGACCATTTATTCTCGCGGGTGACGCATTGTTCCTCATGCTCATTGCTGCTGCCACGCTGCTTCGGACTCCGGAGCCTGAAGGCGCACCAGGATCATTGACTTCCTTGCTCAATCGTACCCTGGCTGCGCCTGGTGTCAACATAAACAGTTGACTTGCGCAAATGCGTAACCAACTACAGACGGTAGGTCCAAAGAGTTGACCCAGTGACGACGTTCGATTGGCTTCGATATCTCATCGGACGGGCTAAATTTCTTCAAAATTTTTCTGGCATGATGTCAGCGCAACAGTCGGGGGAACCCCGAAGTAAATGCAGGCCGGATCGATCATCGGATGGTTCGTAACCTCGCCTGATCAACGGTCGCTGGGTCGCTACCTCTCCGGATGATCCCTGGCGGCTTTTGGGAACTTGCGCCGCCATGCATTGAATTGGTCCTTGAATTGTCACAGTCAGACTTTTCAGACGGAAGGAGGACTCGACTGGCCCAGGATAAAATGCAGAACATATAATACTGTAGTTGGGCGTTCTCAGATCTCCACCTAGCTTATAGCTCAACTCTTGCACCGCAGAACAGCAAACCGTTGCAAAAAACGCAACCCTGGGAAATCAAAGCTCGAAAAGCCAAGCTTGAGTGCAACACCCACCCTGACACACAGCACCAGACATTTTGTTTGAGAACGCCTTGTCCTCGGCAAACACACGCAAAAGGTCTCAATCAGCAACCCAGAGCACAATATTCATCTGGGCCGCGTTTCAGCTTCTGTGTGATTTCCAAAGGGTCATCATGGCGACAGTTTCCGGGCAGCACTTTGAGGGCCATCGCTTCAGCAGAAAAAGCACGGCCAGCTCCAGCTATGACCATGGATACAATGGTTATGGGGCCCAGAATGGTGGAGCGCGGGGCAACGTGGGCCGGGTCTTCCAACACTCCATAGACAACGCAGACGTGAAAATTGAGGGGACGGGGGGTCAGAACTACATCTTGCAAGGCTCAGTGAACAACTCTAAGATTCTGATCCAAGGGACGGGCGGCGACAACTACATTTTCCAGGGGTCTGTGACCAACTCCGTGATTAGGGTGGAAGGGTCGAGGGCCAACAATATCATCTTCCAAGCCTCTTTGACCGGCTCTGATGTCAGGATCTACGGCACTGGTGGCGATGTTGTGATCTTCCAGGGGACGTTGAGAGACTGCACGGTCAAAGACAGAGGGGAGTTGGTGGACAGCCGGTTTATGTTCTCCGGTTCTGTGGTGGATAGCGAGGTGGTCTACAGGGGGAGATAGAAGCGCCACTGGTATAAGCTGCAAGGACTCTAGGTAAGCAGATCTTGAGCTTATGGCACAACTGTTTGGCTTCAGAAGCGCTTGTTGGAGAGTACAACCTTTTATGGCTATTGCATGACAGCTGTACAGGGTCTTTTGGCAGTGCACTCTCGCACTGCACACTTTTAGTCACTGAAGAGGCTGTCACCTGCATGTCACCTCTGATACTATGATTGGGTGCTGACTTTACCCAGATCTGTGTATTTTATGGACCATAGCTCTTGCCAGTGTTATACTTTTCGGAGTAGCTTGAGAAAGCTACCACTCTGCAGATTCAATTCCATCGGTCTGCATCTCTGCAATACAGAGTAGACCTAAGGTGCGTGTAACACCTTCCTGAACAGCACTTTTGAGGGTTTTCTGGGGGTAGGAAAGGGAAACTGTCTGGGGTCAAGCGGTCACTTTGGGGCCAAAAGACCCCAATGAACGATTCTCTGCAGCAGAAAGTCAGACCTACAATAATAATGGTCGCATGTTCAAGGTGACTCTGGCCCTCATGTGCGCAGTCCTTTTTGCGAGCTGCTATCTGACAGTGGTTACCGCTGTGTTCTGTGCAGGACAGCATGTACATACCCACCGAGAACTTGGCCCGATACCTGAGCACGCAAGTTCTTTCCAGAGAGGAGCGCGAGAAGATGAAAGCTCCATGATGAGAAGCTTAGCTTGGATCAGCATGTTGTGAACCAAGGACTGCTTCGTCTCTCTGCTTGTCCGACACCCTTTGTTGACGCTTACTTGGGCAAGAAATCAAGCTACCAGCTGTATTGACAGCTGTTGACCAGTCTGGAGATGAGTACGTAGATGTATCAAGGGTGGCTAGCATAATCAAATAAGCAGCAAAATGCAAACAGAGATTCCTGGAAACACACTGAGTCAGATAAAGTCGAAGGTAAAGAAGTCATGTATATCGGCATAACATGACGGTCCATTGCTGCTACATTGATCAGGTTACTCAGGATACGAGCACGCCGCCGCGCTTGCAAGCAAGCAGCTATGGCTGTTGGGTGCGGCTGGTCATTCTTAGGGACCAAGAGGCATCGGATAGACCTAAGTAAACACATCATTGTTCACACCTGTTAAAACAGTATCAAATCGTTGAATCACTTCCATCAATCGGCCGTCAGACAGAGTCGCGATGGTATGCACCAATCATCTGTGCGTGCGGCACTATAGACGATCATGAAAGGCCTTAGTTGACGGAAGCTACTTGATCATGGAACTACTGGCAAGCTGGATATCATGGGGGCATCACTGCCGCCGCAGCAAAAACCTCCATGTTTGTATCAAAACTTTCAAGGGATTCATGCTAGCATGATGCATGAGCATTCTGGCCCGCTGCAAATCAACAATGCCCGGCAGCTCGCGGTGCAATCGCGATCGGAAGAGTGCACGAAGTGCCATATCATATGGCTCTAAATCGACGAAGGAATACTTCATCACATGCGGGGTCCTAGCCGAGCATCTGCCAAAAGCAACCTAGACATCCCGTGCTTTCACGAAAGTTAGGGTGGCACTCAAGCTCCCACCGGCGGTGGCGGGCAGTGGCGGAGAGGCGCACTAGATCTGAGGTCCCTAGCGGTGAGCGAGCCTGGCAGATTGATCCGCACGATACTGACGATGCAACGCCCTATAAGTATGTTCCAACAAATGCCGGGTAACTGTCATGCATGCCAAGTACGTTGGAAGGAGACGAAACGGCTTTGGGCGTTTATGCCCTTCTTCTACCATATGGGGCGCGTTTGAACGCCGGAATGCAAGAAGAGCGCTTATTCGTTGGATCTCCTTGAGAGAAGTGATGATGCGAAGTCCTTGTACAGAAGTCGGCATGCTGTTTTGTTCTATACTGATGATGAGGATTCCATAAGCACTGTATCTGTGCGCGGGGCGAACCGTGTGCAGCTTCGGTGCACTTCACTTCGGCTTCTGCATCCGCCTTCCCATCCTTGATCGTCCGCTCGCTTCCCGCTTCCGTATCTGCATGAGCAAGAAGCATTATGAAGTCCGGCGCCAGCGAAAAGCAAGGTGAGACGAACTTCAGGACTGGAAGGACGCGTAAGTCAAATCGGACGTCGGCAAAGATCCAAGACCTCCCGCAAGTCCGCAAATGCCATTAATCGCCGACACTCGAAGTGTCCGAAGTGTTGAGACGGGGAGCTGCTCGATCTATAGCCTTCAAGCGGCCTTGCTGCCTTCGTGTCGCCATGCAAGCATGCATACCACAGCTCAAGAATAGAGACATAGAGACATAGTCCAACCGGAGTCCCTCCTTCACAAAGGGGGCAGCCTGCAGACATCCAAGCTGCTTCTCGCATGAAATCGCCAAGCACTTAACAATACCCGAAGACAGACCCAATTTCGGGGGGTATGATTGAACCCGTGATCCCACCCCCCTCACCCGCGTAATCGTCCGGTCCTCCAGCTCCTCCCGAGTCATCGGCCGGTCGTCCACCTCCTCATCGCTGTCGTCATCGCTGGCGTAATCGTCGCCCGTCGAGGGGGGTTCGATTCCCACGTGGACGGACCCCGGGGGAGCGAGGGGCCCCGCCACCAGCAGCATTCCGCTCGGCCGCAGCGGATCGCCGCGCGGAACGGCGGAAAGGCCGTCGTCCAAGTCCTTACCGCGCTGCCGGGCCTACGAAAAGAGCGACTTGTCTTAAGCAAAAGTTGCGCAGAGTCTGCTTTCGCGGCCTCAATAGAATCAAGCCTCTTTCGCCGCCCCTCTACTGAGGATTCAACCCACCTGAAGCCCCGATGATTGAGCGTCGTCAAAATCAAACGCTCCCTTTCGGACAACACAAGGTCCGTTTGAGCAACAAAACGGAAGCAAGCTTTGAGCGGAAGAGGCTTCGGATCAGGCCGAGCCTTCGGTAAGAGGATGATGCAACAGCGCGGAAAACAAAGACCAGGTCCTTCCGGTGTCCATTCTATTTACAAGGGAACGGAGCATCAGCGGAACGCGGACATCCCGCTATTGGAATACCTCTTGAGATCGTCATTTTCGCGGATTGCTGAGAGAGTTGACGAACAACTACTCTTCCATCTGCTGACAAGGGAAGGCCCTTCACATCAGCCCGGGTATCCCCAAGATGTCCGTCAATCTCACCATGTGAATTGCGTACATCTGAAGAATCTCGTTGGTGCGCTGTTCGATGATCCCCAGGTACAGCATCAGGTTGCTCTCCGTCACGCCGCCGTCGCCCAGCATCTCGCGCACCGCGGCCGTGTTGCAACCTGCGGGTTAAGGGTTTAAGGAAGGGTTAGCGGTGCAATTGCAGCGAATCAGGAGATTTCTGAGCATGTCTGCCGGCGGGGTTGCCAGAAGGTTTTAGAAAGGGTGAGCTTCATTAGAGCGGGATTGTGCGCAGCATCTCGCGCACCGCGGCCGTGTTGCAACCTGCGGGTTAAGGGTTTAAGGAAGGGTTAGCGGTGCAACTGCAGCGGATCAAGAGATTTCAGAGCATGTCTGCCGGCGGGGTTGCCAGAAGGTTTTAGAAGGGCGAGCTTCATTAGAGCGGGATTGTGCCCAGCATCTCGCGCACCGCGGCCGTGTTGCAGCCTGCGGGGTTCACGGGTTTACGGAGGGTTAATATGGGTTCACAAAGAACTCATAGAGGTTAGAAACGAAGGTTTGCAGAGCACTTCCTTAGCATCTCGTGCGCCGCGACCGTGCCGCAGCCTACGGCCAAGGCGGGGCTTGGCAGCGAAGGGGTGGTCGTGTGGATGTTTACTTCAAGGGGTTCGGGACGCGGAGGCCTCGGAGCTTCAGAAGGGAAGCAACAGCGTCTCGCGCCCGATTCTTGTTGCATGTCGGTTGGAAAGTCTGCAAGTTGAAAAAAAGGTGGAACGGGCCAGAAAGATAAAACAAGTTCAAGCGGATCAGCGGTAGCAAGTTAGCCTGGACAAACAAGGGGTTTGCAAACGTCCTGATTCCCCGCGAGCTCACCGATTTTGTTGAAGGTGCTGGTGACCACCTGCTTGATGTGCGCGATCGCCTTCATCGGCTTCGTTTACAACAGCGGTTGATATATACTCCCAAAGAAATAGGGTTTGACTTAAGGCTCACCGACCTCAAACACGCTACTAGCAATTTGCTTTACTTGAATCTACCTTCGAATGTGTTAACACACATTAACGCAACCAATTGTTTTGCTTTCTCACCGATCTTGTTGAATGTGCTGGTGACGACCTGCTTGATGTGCGCGATCGCCTTCATCGTCTTCTAACAGCTTCCGTCACTGTTTAGTCATCCGACAAAACAAGCTCGACTCGAAGAGAACGATGGATCTCAGAAACTTACCAATCTTGTTGAAGGTGCTGGTGACGACCTGCTTGATGTGCGCGATCGCCTTCATCGTCTTCTGGAAGCGTACCTCATACTGCGCCTCCCGCTCCTCCGTCCTGTTCAGCCGCTCCTCCAGCTCCAACAGAATCTTCTTGCGCGCGCTGTCGTGGCTCGCGCCCTGGCCCTTGTACTTCTCGATCTCCAGACGGGTGTCGGCAAGTTGCTCCTCGAGTTTCTCCAGCTCCTGTGATGAGACATTTGATAAGAATATTGAGAACTTTTGATTTTTGAAGATCTCAGACTGAACAAATTGCGCCAATGTCGTGGCTCGGCACCGCTCCGGTTGACACGTGTCGATCTCCAGGAGGGTGTCTGCAAGCTGCTTCTCGAGTTTCTCCAACTCCTGAGTGCATGCAGATTCGAGTTTTGATACTGAGGTTCACACTAAGTAAAGTCACGCTGTTGACACTGAAGGCCAAAGTTGCGCCCTTTACCCCTTGTACTTTTTGGATCACAGCCGGGTGTCTAGGAGCTCCACAATTAGTTCCTCCAACCCTGGGTTGGATCAATTGAAGATTCTGAGCTTCGAGACTTACACCTCGTCGTAAGTCGGCTCTTAAAGCCTGTTCCTATGAATCTGAATCCTCTAAGCGTGTAGCCGCAGAATGCTCCCCCAGGAAACGGAAAGCAGGCTGAAAATAAGAGCAAGGAAAAAGTAATCTGCTCGTTCTACGTTCCTGACTGCGTCGGCTCATTCAATCCTTTCTGATAAACCATCGTTGTCCTTTGTGCTGACGACCATTTCAAGACGACTCGTGACCTTCATATACTGGATGACGAAAGGAAGCGACTCTTTCCGAATGAACGGTGGGATTTGATGGAGAACAAAAGGAACCCTCGCTTTCGATTGCCTCATCTGCTTCAACTTTTACTTGCATTTGAAAGCTATCAAACTAGTTCTACGTAATTTGCAGTGTTGCGTGGGCTTGGACGAGCCAACGAGTAGAAGAAAGGGACCAGAAGAAAATGCAGGAAAGAGAAGATCCAAAAGAAACAAACTCGCTCTAGTTGCCCCACCTGATTCAGCTCGTTCACGTAGTTGAAGAGCGAGAAGTTTTTGTCCTCCGCGCTGATGAACATGGTCACCAGCTCGTCGATGTCCTGGATCCCCGTCGCCTGGTGAATCTTCTCAAACGCCTCCTCGTAACTCTGCACCTGGTGCGTTGGCCCGCTGCCCGACCGCCCGTTCACCGACTTCCATGCGCCTGCGAATCCCAAATTCTCAGTTTAAATTCCGTATATATTGAGAATATTCAGAGAAAAAAGTCGCCTAGTGAATTTTCTCAAATGCCTCCTCGTAACTTTGCACTTGGTGCGTCGGCCCGCTGCCCGACCGCCCGTTCACCGACTTCCACGCACCTGCGAATGTTAAATTTCAGGTTAAATTTCTGCAGAGGTTTGAATGAAAGGTCGCCAGGGATTACGGCTCCTCGTATCGCAAAATTTGATGCGTCGGCACACTGCCCCACCACCCTGTCATCGACTTCCACGCGTCTGCAAGTTTCGGATTTTTCAGGTCATTTTCTCCAGAGATGAAATTTTAGTTAGATTTCGCCAGGATTTTGAGATCTTAAGATCGACTCTTCGTAGCTCTGCACCTGGTGCGTCGGCCCATTGCCCGACCGCCCCTTCACCGACTTCCACGCGCCTGCGAGAATCAGTTTGAGTATTTCGCACACAATTGAAGTTTTGTAATCAGAAGTGCCTAGGGTTTTGAGATTCTTAGAAGACTCCTCGTAACTTTGCACCTGGTGCGTCGGTCCGCTGCCCGACCGCCCATTCACCGACTTCCAGGCGCCTGCAAATCCCGTTATTTCCGAATAGATTCACGTAATCAGATCCTGAAAGTCGCCAGAATTTTGAGATTTCTAAGATGCGTCCTCGTAGCACAGCACTTGGTGCGCCGGGCCGCTGCCCGACCGCCCGTTCATCGACTCAGGTCTTTCAAGCTCAGAACTTTAATCATGAAAGTGCTGCAGATCAGTTTCCAAGGCGGAATTCGGGTTCTCAGTTACTAATCTTGGTCTTACACTATCTTATTGGCTATTCTTGCACCTCTGCCGGTGCCAGCTTTTTATGCTTATTCAATCTATGAAAAAATGCCTCCATAGCGTTCCAGAACGGTCCAAAGCAAGCAACAAATTATACACACCTCCCCTTCTACGCACAAACGTTCAGGCTGATCACGAAATAACAACGACGATCGCACGCTTCCACGATCTCTCCGCAAACCACAAGAACAAAGGCAAAATGGGGAAGTGAAATTAAAGATGATTGGAACAAAGAGCTTTTTGGCCTTACTGCCGCTCCGTTCCCTCCCACCGCCGCCGGCCCCCCTGCTCGCGCCCACATCGCCTCTGTCGGTGGGTGCGCCCGGTTGCGCGTCTGCGCGGCTCATCTTCAGAAAGTCGCGCATACGGTGCTGGGAGTCAATGAGCTTCCTGCGAAAACGTTGGTGGATCTTACGTCAGCACGAGCTGACTACCTTTCTGTGAATACAGGGGCTCGTATTCTTCAGAAAGTTGCGCATCCGATGCTGAGAGTCGATGAGCTTTCTGCTGTCGGAAAGGGCAGGGTCAGCGGTTGATCTGGTTTCAGTGTCTATCTAGTGAAAGCCTTGACTTCAAGTGCTCCATCTGCTGCATCTCGCGCATCAGTGCCTTGAACGCCGCCTGCCCAAACAGAGTATTTTGGGCTAGGGACAGAACCCTTAGCATATAAAACATCGCAAATCCTGAGTTCAAACGAGCCCTTTTCATTTCCGCGTACAAGTGTATCATGGGATCGAGAGCCCAAAAACCGTTGGGCGAAGTAACCTCTCACTGCACCTCGCGCATCTCCGCCTCATATTCCGCCTGCGCCTCGTCACTTGACGAGAACCAGTTTCGAAAACTCGAAATTGACGGAAATCCGCACACCAACATTCTCAAAGCCAGATCCCCCAGACCCAGATGTCTCAAGTACAGATTCCTCAAACCCAAAACTCCTCCCTGCATCTCGCGCATCTCCGCCTCTCATTCATGACGTCGAAAGATCAAAACCAAGTTTCACGGTTCCATCCAAACCCTTGAACCCGTTCGAAATTTCGTGTAAAAAGTAACCCCCTCACTGCATCTTGGGCGTCTCCTCCTCTTACTCAACAACATTGCAGGGCTCACATTGAATCCTCAAAGCAGACCGAAACACGCTCCAGAGAGGTAATTTCTCACTGCATTTCGCGCATCTATTGGAGGCGGCCTGCCCTCTCCGCGTTTTACGTTCTATGGTCCAAGCACACATTCAAGATTCCTATCAAACCCCAAACCACTCTGTAACTCCTAGGACAGACCCTCAAAACCCAAAAATCTCGTCACTTTCAAAGGGATCCCTCACTGCATTTCGCGCATCTCCGCCTCGAACGCCGCCTGCTCCTTGTCCGCCTGTGCCTTGAGCGCGGCCATCTCGTTCTGCGCCTGGTCGCGCGCCTCATACGCTATATTGCTGATCTCGATCACGTTCGCCATTTCGCGCTTCTTATCGTGCAGCTCCTTCTCCATCTTCTTGTATAGCGTATCGAACACCACGCGCTCGCGCCGTAGGTTGTCGATCTGGTCGCGCAGGACCTTGTTTTGGGAGAGGGCCTCGTTGAACTTGACCAACGCCTGGAGACAGGGAGAAAAGGGTCGATTAGCAGCTCAACAGGGCCTTCTGTTCTTTGCGTGGGCCTCGTTTTAGTTTACCAGGGCCTAGAGAGGCGGAGAAAAAGGGCGATCAGCAGCTCGACAGGGCCTTTGGCTGTTCCCGCAACTCCTATGTCTTATAAAGCTTGAACGGCTGGAGCAAGTGGCAAGTAGATGCTTACAAAGCATAGGCTCAGGGGTATCGAACCCAGAAAAACTATATCGAGGCAAAACCCGGATCACGTCTCTTCTTGGCGGTGTCTCGATCGAGGTCCTTAAAGAGATTGCAACAAACATACGGGCCACTTTCAGAGTGATCGTTCTGGTCTCATGACTCTTTCGGTTTCTTGAAAAGGAACACATGCAGAGGGTATCCCTCGCAAACTTCCCTACAAGGAAGCGGGCTGTCCTCCTCGGTCCCAATCACTCTCAGGTAGGTATATCAGAAACGAATTCTGTCCTGTTCAACTTCGTTGTCGCAAATTTTTCAAGAGCGCCGACCAGAGCAGCAATTGACAGACGGCCACTCGCGCACAAGACCACACAAACTTCATCAATCGCTTGAGTGCGGGTGTGAATGCGCACCTTCTCTAGTCGGTTCTCGAGCTGCTTGACCTGCTTGTTGACGGCCAGGCTGCTCTCCTTGCCCGCATTCACACCGCCCATTTGCCGCCGCGTGTCCATCGCTTTGGTGCTCATGGCCCCCATCTTTTCTTCCAGCTCCTCCAACTAGAGGAAGCGGAAAAAGTAATGATCTGGTTTTTCAAGGGTCTAACTGTAGTTGGACTCCTTGATTAGAAAGACTTCAAATATTCTTCATCAAAAGTAGACCGTTCGACTTGTGAATTAGCTGGTCCTTCGACTTTCTTCTCCAGCTCCGTATGCGAGCAACGTACGCATGCATGCACTTCGACAGTTAAGGATCTAAATATCTCAAACACTTGGCTTTTGGCCCCTGTTGTTCCAATCCAAAATGAGGAACCGAAGAATGTTCAGAATGTTGCTGGTTGAGGCATCAGGCTTCCGTCCCTCCTTCACATCCTTTTAACATAGAGACCGGTTAAGCCTCTGTAGTCCTTCCTGGATTTGCTTGCAAGAGATTCCTATCTGTTCAGGAAACAACAACGCTACCTCAGAAACCGGGAGAGTCCGGTCCGTTTGACTAGAAAATCAAATGCAGCCGGATGTGACGTCGTTTTTTGAGTTGTTCATTGTGGATCAAGCGACCCGGTTGAACATAGGAGAGAAGAGCGCACCCGCTTTCTCTCGGCCTCGATCTTGCGTGTGTATGCCTCGACCTGCTCTTGCAGCTTCGCCATTTCTTGCTGCACTGTGGCGGCGCTGCTTATGCCCCCGACATCCGCTTGGCTCAGCAACTCGATTTCCTGGAGAAAGATTGTTAAGCTCTCAACATATATCATCTGGAAAACTTTCTTTGATGTCCGTTGCTACCTTCAAGTATGTCGATGAAAGTTTGCGCTGGTCAAGCGCATTGAAAGAGCTTCCCGCATGGTGATTCTTAAACATTCGGTGTATTTTGGGCTGCATCCGCCACTTGCCCCATAAGAAGAGCAATGCACTTTCATCTGGAGCATTCGAGGTGACTGACTCACATGGCGCAGAGCGGCGTTCTCATCTTTGACCTGCTCGATGGCCACCCGCTGCTTCTTGATGACGGCCTGGCTGTCGTCGGAGTACGACTTGCGGTTGCCCTCCATGATGCGGTACTTGCGCTGCAGGTCCGCCAGCTGGCAACAAAGGAGGGGCGCATATGGCATAGCTGATGGGGCATAAGGCAAGGAGCTCATTTTATTGCTCTCGTGCACACATCTAAAATTTTACACCGCGTCGAGTATGCATGAAGAGGAGCTTGAGCAAATTTTTTGCCGCTTCTTTAACCCATGTTTGACTCCCGGATATAGGGCCAAAGCATGCGCCTTGTGGAACTCAAATCAAAGACTTGGGAGCTGGTGGTTTTGTGAGAAGATGCACTTGAAAAATGTACGCTTGGACATATGCAGATAAGATCAGCGAGAGAAAGCGCCTGCGCTGGGGCATCTCAATATGGGCACAGCAATTGCTTGCAAGCAGTCTGTGGAGGATATAGTTAAAGCCAGAAAAGCGCAGACTTTCTGAATTCCGCATGATATAAAAGAAAGCTGTTCAGTGTGTGAATATGGACCCATGCTCTTTTGCAGCAGGTTGAAGTCAGCAGCAATCGCACCGGGCAGAGTCTTTGAGAGCTTTAAGAGAGAAAATTGATTGTCAACAATTGAACCACTCATACGGATGGCAATAAACTCGGGTGGGAAGTTTACCTGGGACTCTGAATCATTACTGAGCTCAGCACCAAATTTGCGCCCATGCACTGACGACTTCCCATCGCTATTGGTAGATTTTGCAGAGACTCCCCTCTCTGCATTTGTACCGGTCCGCTCTGACTCCACACCAGCCATGTTTCTCAGCTCTAGTTACCCGCTTTTCTATGAAACTAGGTATGCTTCGTTTCTCACTGAAACTGGTGCTACTTGCCCTTCATGCTTGTTCAGAGGAAAAAGGAACGCAGTTGCTTCCATTGTAGACGTGAACATGCGGGTAACCTTTCCTTCACCTGTGCCAATCCTCTGGTGTCTTTACCGTCAATAATCCTCTCTTGGTCGGGGACTGCTAGCTAGCTTGCCTTCGCAGGTGTATCTCCAAGCTGTACTTCGCTGCCCGAGGCACCATTCATTGGAAAGCGGAGCTCTTTCCACCAGCTGCCACTGACTGAAACGAGTGCTGCTCCAGCTCCACTAGTACTGCTAGTCCTAGTGCTCCAAGAAGGAGCTCCGGCTTTCTGCTCAATACTGGCGCCTAGGATAGCTTTCCAAAGTGAAAGCGCTTGAGATAAGTTTGCTCTCTACCTACGGTAGCCTGTAGCCTGTAAGGTAGTTTGACTCTTAGACAAGCTCCGGTACGCTTGTAGTGTTTTACCTTTCTTGTGATGCCCGGCGAAGGTTTTCAGGTGTACTGCACGCGCGCAACAGCGGTCCGCAGCCCTGTACCGTCGATGTATTTTTATCGGCGGCTCGATTTGTTTGTTGCGGAATTGTTAACTCTCTAGCTGTACAGATCTGTGTCGTGCTTCCAAGTGCTGTACATAGGTACAGCAGGCTTCAGGCCTGGACATGTCATGAAAGCTTGTCTTTCAGTGCAATGGCATGCAGTGAGTAGGCGGTGAACTCAAGATCAATGGAGAAGTGTTCTCCATGCTCGCCACTTTGGTCTGCAATTCAAGATCAAGCCTGAAGAAACATAAAAGAAAAGGGAGAGCGTGCTTGGACCAGGATAGCCACCGGTATATAAGCAAGAGCAAGACGTTTGCAATGGCCCCTTATGGAGGGCCTGCCATGCGTGGGGGACCCCTTCAAGAAAAAGGTGAGGATGATGCACACGTCCAATGCTATTGATATCACATCGCAAATATGGGTTCTACAACCTGGAAGCAAAGTCTACTACCACTGTAGCTTCTTGCCGCTCCGGACTTTGGAGGGGGCCTGACAAGAAACCACAAATAACATGTCCCTTACAGTCGATTGTGCCACCTTGAGTAGCTGATTTGCATTGGGCAGGTTGCATACTGTCAGAATTGTGTCATGCATAACAATGCTGCTTACAGTGCCAAGAACGCTGTGCCCTTGGATCCAGCTTTTCATACGTACAGCTGTTTGGGTTCCCTTTGGGATTTGTAGAGCGTTCGAGCATTTATCAGAAGTCGGCCAAGAGCTCCTTCTGTTTGACTTCACCACCTTGCTCAAGTTGCAGAGAAACGGCTTTGCAGAGTCGACTTTTCAGACCGTCGTCATTTTCTACCCACACTTCCACAAGAGTCAACCGTTAGGATTCAGCGGACCGCATAACCAAGCGATCTGATTATATATTTTCAGGAAACAGACGCTCGGTCAAGCCACAAGCCCCGACACCGACCAAGCCCGCCGCTCGAGCCGCCGCCAGGCAGCCCGTCCGGCATGACATCAGCATATCCGACGTTCCTGGCCTGAGTGACGACCGCATGTTTGCCCGCCCCGAGAAAAGCTTTGCTCAGCCAGACACGATGTCCTCCCCTAGTTATCATTCTGAGGAATCCGAAGTTGCGGAAAGGATCCGCTTGCTAGAGCTTCGACTAGCTGAATCACAGAGGGGGGGGCAACAACAAAGTGGGTTTGACGCGGGGTATGGGAGAGGTAGCTTCGGGGGGGGTGCAGAAGTGAGGGCCTCGGGGGAGGGGGAAAAAGGGGCACACAAATTTATGTCGGGGCTGGCGACGATGCACCGAGGGACAGGGGGGGCCAATGAGCTGCAGGCAGCTTACGAGAAAAAGCTGCAATACCAGAGGGAACTAGGTGAGGAAGAAATGACAAACTTGGGAGGCCTCAGTATGAGTCCGCTTTTTCAGTCAAAGGACCGTTTTGCATTCTTTGAACAATGACTGATAAGCCTCCTGGAAAGCATGAGACGGAGCTCCTTCCTAGAGGGTATCTTAGTTGACCGTGTCTTACAGGGTATCATAGTCAGTGCTCTTGGCCGTCAAGAGCAATGGATCAGTTTTGAGCTCCGCAGGCTCGACGTGGAGGAAGATTTTTGACGGGCTCAATATCTAAGTGAGAAGACGGGCTTCGGAACTAGGCCTTGTTCCGGCATGAGAACTTTTATCTACAGGGCGAACGTAGTTTATAGCATACTTCTTTACCCGTGATTACAGTTTTTGGGCTTCCTAGCTCATGGTTTGTGTTCCATGAGGTTCGTGCTTCGCCAGCAGACTTCTTTCGCCCAGCTCGAAATATGGACACAATTTTGGCAGTTCGTCGGATGGCAAGTCTTGAGACCAAGAGGCCGAAGCTGCACGGTTTGCCTTGTGCGGGGGGCCAAACCGTTCATTCTTTCTCTTACGAGTGTAGAAGTCAGACTGAAACGAGAAAACCGAAAACCCAAGAACAGCACCGGTATTGCTTCGAGCGGGGAAGCAAACTGCTTATCGTCTTTACGCAGATGAACAGGTTAGACTCAAACCAGAAGCTCGAGACCAGCGCCGGTATCGCTTCGAGCGGGGAAGCAGATGTCTTATTTTCTTCTACGCAGATGAACAGGTTAGACTGAAACGAGAGAAGCAAGGACTCGAAAATAGCAACGGCAGAGCACACCAGTCGGTTGCCCTCTCTGGAGCGGGAAGTCCCGGAGCGTGGTCGTCTTTTGGGGGGGGTCCCTCCAACGTCCTTCGTGACAGGGGGGCCCAGAACCAGCTTAGCAGCCCCCCCCCTCAGCGAACCGGCGGGGACTCTGCTCTTATGAGCCCGGTCCAATGTCTGTCGCCAAAGTGAGTGTCGATCTGTGTGAGGGGTTTCCGCCCTTATGAGTCAGTCGAATGCCTATCGACGACGTCCACTCAAGCTGTGTGAGATCTTCTCAGATTGTCTTGAGTTCGGTCATTGCGAATGCATCTTCACGTTGACTGTTAACTGCTGTGTTCTGTGTACTGCCTCCGCCTTGCACGCCAGTGAATGAGGTTCGCAGGAGCAGTCAATTACCAGAAATGAAAACCGTGAAATCAAGCCCTTGCTTGCCAATAGTGACTCCTCAAAACAGACTACACCTCCTCAAATGAGACGTCACCATTCCTTTCCAACTACTTCAGTTTTTGAGTGCATTGCTGCAGAATCATGGACCCCCCTTCGTGGGCTGCCCCGGCGATGTCGGGCTCCCAGGGGGGTGCTCGCTCCAGCGAATCCAGCCCCCTGCGCAATAGCATGTTCATGTCGTCCCTGCGCGAGCTCAAAGCGGGGCCGTCGCCCGAGCAGCTCTCGGCCGCGCAACTGAAGCGGCAACAGCTGATAGCAGACCTAGGTACGGCTCACTGGCTAGAGAAAATCGGCCTTACGAAATTACCAGATCAGATTATGAATGGTTAAGCGATCCGTTACGAAACACATTCTTGGAAGAGTGAAGCTTAGGGTCGCCCGAGTCAACATTCACGCGGATTGCCGTGAGCGCTTGAATGTGTCAAAGAGTCAGCAGCTTGGTGTGTACAAGTAGGAGTCGCAGCAAGCTGCCGTGTGAGAGCCGGATCGGTCGCTTTTCTTTGCTACAAAAGCCCTTTGTGGATATTCCCTCATCTATTATCTGTCCTGCCTCCGTCGTGCTCGACAGAGTACAGCAGGTGTACGCAGACGCTACAAGGATAAGACCTCAGCAGACATGTTGTTTGCTCAACAACGACCCAGCGGTCTCGTAAAAGTCTTCGTCAGATACTTAAGCTCGAGTGCTTTCCGTTCCGGTGAAGCGAATTAAGCTGTTTGCGCCTTCGCAGATGAGCAAGTGCGGATAAAGAAGGCCCAGAAAGAACGCGAGAAGAGAGACCAAGAGGGGAGAGATGCACGGGTGAGGGTGAAGTAAGCTAGACGCTAATTGAGGGAGAAACTCTGTCCAACATCTGGACTCCTCGATACACCTTTTGGCATATCCGATTATTGAAGGGGCTCCAACGAGATTACAACGACTAATGACGGAGGAACAAGCGCACACGCATTTCGGCACGGGTTAACTTCTGAAGGGTAGTTGGCACGGAGCCGAGACACGTCCTTACAAACGTCCAGCGATATTTGCTTGGGTCACAACATTGGTACTTTGTGCTTCGACAAAGCTTCGGGCACAGGTCTTGCGGCTGCGTTGAAGCAGTCGCAGGGATAGCGCTGTCGTTTGGAAATTGTCTGCATGGGTGCTTCTGTGCGATTACCTTCTTACTAACCGATCAAAAGTTTTTGCTGCAGAGCGCAGCTCGCATCAGTGGAACGGGCCTCACGTCTTCCTTCATGCAGCCGACGTCATCGTACGCGCAGTCCACGTCACCTTACGCACAGACAACGTCATTATACGCACAGCCCACTTTGCCCTTCGCTAGTCACGTGTCCGACGCATACGCGAGCCACGTGTCCGAAACGGACGTCCGTCGTCAGGAGCAGGAGGAGCTCGCGGCGCTAAAGTGCGCGCAGGCGCACGCGCAGGAAGCGCACCTCGCGCAAATGCTGGAGTCGCTCAGAGCAGAGCAGGCCGCGACGAAAGCGCGCGGGGCGCTGGAAGCGGAGGCGCGCGAGAACGCGCGGGGGGCCAGGGAGAACGCGCGCGCGTTTCAGGAGCGAGGGGTGCAGGAACTAGGGGCGCGAGAAAGTGCGCAGGAGAACGAGATCCAGGCGGCGCTGCGCGCGCTAAGGGTGGAGCAAGCGGCGATGAAGGAACGGTTTTCGAGTCAGGAGGACACGATCGTAAATCTGCAAAGGGAAGCCGCGGCCGCGGCGCGCGAGCGGGACGAGGCGCGACAGCAACTAGAGCGGGTGCAGCGAGGTACGGGTTCAACTGTCCAACATCTGGTTAACGAAGATGCATGGAGACCTTTGTTTCAGACGGTTTAGGTCGTATATGTATGGGTTGACTTGTTTCAGCTCTACGGGGCTTTGATCTTCGGATTTTGCATTCTTAGCCAGCTCTGGGGCTAGCCAGCTGCACCTATTTCCAAATCAGGTCCTCGAGATTGTAGTGTGTAAACTCTTCCGCGAATTGAGGCTCTCTACATCTGTCAAGCTGTTCTTGCAACTTGAACGGTAAAGGTCTGTGCAAAGTGAGCCCCCATTTAACAATCAACAAGATTTACAAGCACTGTCGCTCGAAAACGAACGAATCACAGACTGTTGAGACGAAGTTTTCAGTGTTGAGTACCTATTTTGGAGGAGCCTTCAAAGTCTCGTCAAAAAACAGCAGCGGAAAGTCCTCTGAAAGTCTGCAAATTTGCCCAGCTTTCACGGATATGGACAACGACCCATCGTAGACTTATTTCCCCCACACCTCTGCAGGGCGGAACGCCCGGCCGGACTCCGGAACAAGCGACGGAAGCAGCAGCACAAAATCGGTGGGCCAGTTCCTTGTTTCCGACTCCCGGCTCATGCCCCGGTCTGTCAACCACATCCCCGACGCGGGAAAAGGCGGATCAGCACCGGCCACACGGGGGAAGCTTCCCTCGGGGCGTACAGCCAGCCCCTCGGTTGTGAGAAAGAAACGTGAGGTTCCGTTTCTCACGTCCTTGCGTCTCTCTATTAGCAAATTCGCGGTTGATTCTTGAGAATATATTAACCGAAGGTTACATTGACGTATTTTTGTAAGCGGGGCAAGGCGGATCAGCGCCGGCAACGGGGGGAAAACTACCATGGGGCGTACGGCCAGCCCCTCGGTTGTGATGAAAAACGTAAGGCTTCGCCTTTTCGCGTCTTTGCAATCGTTTCTTGAAAAAGTTCCTGATTGAAATGAGATAATAACCTTGCAATATGTTTAAAAAAGGTCGTTTGCAATTCATTCTAGCATTACACGTATTGCTCGTCTTGTACACTGATGCAAGCTTTGACTGCATTGTGCTTCATTGAGAAGACTCCAGCCGACAGGTCCGAGAAGTATCAGCTGCGCGCTCTTAGTTGCCGCAAACCTTCGTAAGAAGATAAAACGAACGACCGCCAGAGTCTATGTGTCGCGCGACGAGGAACCTTGCTGCCTACCTCTTTACCAAAGTGCTTTAGTTCCCAAATGCGTCTCGCCTTATCTCGGTTGAACATCACGTGCAGTGGTGAAGTCACCAGCCATCATAGTGACGTCGACGGACCAGAGTCTTCCAGCCAAGTGGGCCAGAAAAGTGAGCCGCTAGTCGCCCTTTACTTCCCAAGCTTCTGCGACTGATTGGGTTCGCCGTTTAACCAAGTTCGCTTTGATTTGCCTTCCTCAACCAGCTCTTGCTTCCAGCTTACGGCTCACATTTTGGAGATCCTTCCGACACTGTGTGACCCGTTGACTACGTACTGAAAGGACCTCAGCCAAAATATGTTTGAAGTGCAGTGAGATGAAAGGTCGAGCGGAATAGATTACCCGTCTGTGCGTATATGCCTCAGCGAGGAATTCCTGTCATCTGGAAGCATAACTCTGTTTCTGGTCAGTCGTCTCGTAATGTTCTATTCCCCAAGGACGTCTGCTTCTTCAGGAAAAGCGCCTCCTTCTTTCTGAGAGACCTTCCGACACTCCTATTTTTGCAAGTGACGAGGCTGGATATCCTTGCATTCCGCTTCGTGTGTCGCTTCGCCTAGCTTCTCTATCCTTACAGGGAAAGTACTTGATCAACCCGTGTGCTCAATGTTGGCCCCTTTAGTGTAATTTGAAAAGACCCAGACGTCTCGCCACTCCTTCTCTGCAGGTTCCTGCCGCGCCAGCCCACGAAACGCGCGCGAGCAGTAAAGCCGCATCGCACGCGGAGAAGCTGGCCAAGCTGCAGCAGAGCAGGGCGGCAGGCAGGCTCTGGACGTAACGCTTTGGCTGCAGCGCCGCTTATACGTTACAGTCCGTCCTTACAGATCTGGAATATACAAGTCTTGGAGAAGAAGCTAGAGTTTCAAAGTAGGATGTTGAGGATCTGCATGTTCCAAACACTTGTGAGATAATTCAGTCATGGCCTTGTAACACGGTAGGGGCTTTCGTGTCTCAGAACAGCTGTCTCGATTCCAACTCAACGCAGTGATCGCCTTCATTCTAGCTGAGATTCAATTCGAGTAGCGGCCGGCATGTTTATTGGCACACCTCGTACCTCGTACGTGTCACTTGACCATTGGACCATGTCTCAATCATTGCTCAAATTAAGGGTTTCATCTAGTGCACTTTGTAGTAGTTCCTTCAACTTAAGTGCACGAGCTTAGTACCTAGACGCCGGGCCTTTGCAGTCGGAGCTACGTGTTTAGACCGTTTCCGACGCGCGGCGCGCCGTGTCAGCATAGAAACAACACAAGATTTGTTACAGTATTCTTCCAAGCAGGATATACTGTGAGGCAGTCATCATGTGAGCGGTGGCGCCGGTGGCCGTATGTCTTATATTCGATCCACACATGTGCATGGTACATACACCGGAAATTTATATATACTACGGCGGCAGTGCATGACATAAAAACCCTCAACAGCTCTATCGTGTACAATTACCATCGGAGTTGGCAAGGGCGACGTGCGTCCGAATCAGTTTGGCGGCGCATGGATCCCACATGTGGCTCACGATAAACGTACATTGACGCTTAGAAATGCGTATACAATCCAAACGATGAGTCCGCCGCGGAAACCGGCAGCAATTATGTAATATAGTGCAGATTTGAAGAAGAGCTCTCTAATGGTTATATACATTGCATCTACACATTGGATGGCGGCAGGCACCGGGCCTGACGTGACAAGGACATTTGCTGGGAACCTATTTCGTGTTCAATCCGACAGACTGATACGGTCTTGAGATCGACTACGATTGCATCTACCGCGAGCTAGCTAGTTGCATTTGTACTATCCTTCCGAAATCTTTTGAACACGGTTCTTATAACAACATATCTTCTTTCTATACCGACTGTTATCACGCGAGCGCGCGCGCAAAAAGCAAAGCTTAAATGTCTCCGACTTAATAAAGCTTCTTTTGAAGAGCCCATATGTAAATCTAAATTGCTTCTTTCTCGCCAATTCTGAATCCGCCTCCGCCAACTCATTCGCTTTCTAACGTTCGAATTCCAACCGCTATAGTGCCTAAGCAACCGCCTTTTGAATGAAATCCTTCAAACCATTGTAAAGCACTGTAAACGTCGTTGCTTTTCCTGGTCATCAAATGAAGCAGCTGCCGCGAGAATATATAGCGTGCGCTAAATACATGATTATGGCAACTTTGCCGCCAATCTCGGCAAAAAACTTATGAAGTTCGCTCGACGCGCTCGAAAGGTTAGACCCTCTTCTCCGTGCCGCGGAGAGCTTTGTAGACGGCGGCCGTGTCTTCATTGCCGTAGCCAAGACTCTTGGCCAGGATGAAGTTCTGCAAACGCGGGAGTAGACCGGTTTACAAGGATTCGTGCCGTGGGCATAGTTCGAAGAAGCTGATACAGGCATCCATCGTTTGGAAGCGTTGTGAGTCTTCCTTTTAGCGGTCCCCAGAACTTGATCGTGCGAACAAATGATGCTTCGACTTGGCTACGATGCAGCATACGAGCTTAGAATCTTACCCTGTGCAGAGAAGAGAAAGAAACGTTCGGAAGGTCCACGCAGATTGATCTTGACTGACCCTCTGAACATTTTCGTCGGTCCAGTTGGATTCTAAGATGAAACCCTTTCGGGTCTTGCTCAGATGCCAGCGTGTATGCCGCAACTGACCCCTACCAAGGGCAACTTTGTGCAAAACCCCTTTTTAATCTCTCATTACTAGAGGATCCTACACAGGTTTTGCGGAGGTCGTAAAGCTGCCGGCGGCTGCGGCAAAAGCTACACCGACCGCAAAGAATAAGCTTTTCAAACAAGCTTTATTCGCGCACGCAAAAAAAAGACCTCCATTAATCTGCTAAAACGTTGCTACTAAACTGCGTAGGACCTGTTACGACCTGCTCAAAATCAAAAGCTGCTGCCAAAAAAATGTAAAAGAATCTGTAAACCCTTACCTGGTTAGCGGCCGCCGCCCCGACCGCGAGCACGAGCCTCATATCCCTCTGATGTTGTTCTAGCGGAAACGACACCGAAAACTCTTCACACCCTAATGATTCTATCTCCAACCTTTCTCAAAAAAACGAGAACTCTAATCCTTGAACAAAGAGGAAACGAAAAGACTAATCCTTTAACAAAGAGGGAACCGTCTTTACCTGATCAGCGGCCGCGGCGACTGGCAGCGGTTGCGCCACCTCGTCTCCGACCGCAAGCGCGAGCCTCATATCCTTCTGATGATGCTTCAGCGGAAACGACACCGGATACTCCCCCTTCAACATCTCCGGACCCTTTGTTTTGAACAGTCCGCACGACATCGCACCCGCGTCGAGAACTTCCAGAAGCGACTCTTGGCTTAAACCCGCTTTCTCACTGAGCGCTAGGCCTTCAGAAAGTGCGTTAAGCATGGTTCCCATAACCATGTTAACGGTAACCTTCATTCTGGCGCCGTTGCCGACGTCACCCAGGAACAGGGCCTTGCTGCCGAGGATGTCGAGCGCGGGCTTGACGTCCGAGAAGAGGGACTGAGAAGGGAGGCGCGAAAACAGGGCCTCTTGTCAGTGCGGGACTTGATTTTGAGAAGAGAGGCTGGGGGAGGGGGGAGGAGAAAACGGGGCCTCTTGTCAAAGGTAGGTCGAAACGCGCAATTAGGGAAGAGCCGCGAAGTCCGAAAAGAGGGACCGAGATTAAACGAGGGAAAAAGGGGCCTCTTGTCAGGGCGGCGATCTCAAACGTTCACCTGAACACAGAAGAGTGGTTGCAGCGACGAGAAAACGGACGAGAAGAGGGACTCTGGAGGGAGAGGCGAAAACAGGGCCTCTTTGTCTGAGCGGGGAATAGCGTCTCAGTAAAGGGACTGGGTCAACAAAGAAAGGACCTTCTATCAGAGCGGTAGATTGAAATTGCCCAAGATGAAGGGATGAGCGGTGACGTTCGGAAAGAGGGAATGAGAAGGAAGAAGGAAAACAGGGCCTCTCCTTAGAGCGGCAGACTTAGGCGTTCTTCTTGAGACAGAAGAGTACGAGCAGTGACGAGAAGAGGGTCTGTGTGTGGAACAGGCGAAAACGGGGCCGCTTGTCAGAGCGTCGGTCTGAGAGAAGCGCCCAAACAGAGAATAGAAGAACCGCACATGGACTAGAAAGGTGCAGTTGGTCAAGAAAGGAGGGATGTTGGAGATTTTCAGAGGTGCTGCATAAAGAGAAGCTTTTGGGAAGGGGAAAGGAGTTTTGTGTCAAGAGCTCAACAAGGCGCTCAGCGACTCTGTACTAATTGTTTACGTGGATCAAGCAACAACAAACGGAAAGTCTAGCCTTCCAGGTGTCCTCTGCCAAAGTTACCCTATGAGAACAGTCAACTTCGATTCGATGCAAGCGGCATGACCATCGACAACCAGAAGAACCTCGCAAAAGCTCTCCCCAAGTGGGCCGAAAATGCCGTTCGTTTCCACTATACACACGGGAGGGCTGCAATTTCGTCACATCAGGTTGCTTTATGGGTGGAAGTGTTCCATTCAGATATGAAGTTTCGTTTCAATACGATAACAAAGGACGGCTTCGAATCACAAGCAACAAGGTTGCTCTGAATGCTCCAGCGCTTGCAATGATAGTGACTGAAAGAATTCTAGAGCCATGCTCAAGTAGGGCAAAGGCGAGTCTCCGTTCACCAAAGCGTCAAACCAGATTGCTGTTTGCACCGCGATGTCGGAATCGTTAAGCAGACCAAGAGAAAGAAGGTCAGATGATACCGTGATGAAGGAAAGAGAATTTACACCCGCACCTTGTCCCCTGCAGTTAAGAAGATGAGCTTGCCCTGTTCTGCGGGCTGCTTTGTTCCCGAGACAGGTGCCTCCAAATAGCGCCCGCCCTTTTTTGTGACCGCCTGCCAGACACAACAAGGTTCAAATCTAGAATTGTCAAATTGGTAAAATCAAGCGGAGACAATCCAGAACGAATCGATCCCTAACAAGAGATTGTTGAAAGCTGCCTGAGCACTTCTAGACCAGAGAAGTGCAACCTCACAACCAATTAAAATCGTGGACGAGCATGTTCCAGGAAACACAAGGGAGACTATCATGGTGTTTCCTCAAGACGGAACAACTTATAGAAATTGACTGGAGATGGAGATTTTTCTGTAGATCAAATGTTTGACAGACGCAGAGGCAGTGAGAGATTTGGAAGCACCCGAGCTTAGCAGTCAAAAGTCAAAGAGAAGTGATAGATTCAACATTGCACCGCCTTAGCCCCATGTTGACGAGCTTGTAAATGTGTCTTGACTCCAGAAGAACTGTATGGTTGAGTAAATTCAGAAGCTTACATCGCTGATCTTCTTGGAAGTGTTAGGTCCCACTGTCGATGCATCAACGTACGCCTTTCCCTCCTTGATCCCGTTCAAAACACCGTCAGGTCCAAAAGTAACCTGTAGTGCAATGAGAGCAGATATCATTCAGCGCAAACGATGGTGGAAAGGGACTGTTCATGCAACACCCCAAAAACCTTTACGTCAGGAATTTTTACTGCTTCAATCACGAAACAAGGTGATCCAATCATTTCTGGTCGGAAAACTGAAATCTGTTCTCACTGGCGTGCATTGCAAAAGCCTCCCTCAGCGCAACATCCCAACCTCTGGCCTGTTTTGAGTAAGTGGCTCTGATTGCTTGTCTGACATGATACGAGATTCTTCACACAGTCCAGGACAATTGTAATAAAGATGAGCAGTGCCTATTCAGCGGCATTTAACTTTCTGCATATGGCTCTTACAGCCTAAGTACTGCCTCCAGCGCCCAGTATGACCAGAAACAAATTTAAGAAAGAGCATTGCTCACCTCCAGTGCAACTTCATCCTGCGCCAGCATTGCAAAGGTGATTGGGCACTGCGCCACGACATCGGCGGGGCTTTTGCCAGCTTTTGCCCCCTCTTGCACTAGCTCCTCACACTGCGATAAAAAGGGGTTTCGCTGTTAACCAGAGCTGGTTACTTGCAGGTAACTACTTGAAGCTAGATATAATCAGTTGCCTTGCATCAATTGTGTTTCAAAGCAGATTCTTCATTCCTTTGTTTTCAGAACTTCATCCGGTGGGGGTGAACAATCCAGTGATTGAGTGAAGGAACTACTTTCCGTCTTTGTGGGAGTCCTTGCATGTGTGGTCACAGGCACGCCACGTGTCAAGCACCCCAGATCGCTGTTTCATCAAAACACGTTGCCGGAATGCAATTTGAGCAGATTCTTTCGCTGGTAAGTATCAAGTGCACAGGTGCGATGACAACTGGGCGGTGAACAGAGTCAGTCCCCTTCAATCACTGACACTGAGATTTTGATCCAGTAAGGCTGCACATGCAGTGCGGCAGGTTGTGGCCGCTTGCTCGGGAAGACAACCCCCGGTAGGTTAAAGATCCATGAATGAATGCATATTGATAGTGTCCATGTTCTGTGTGCATGACGGGTACCAGAACTCCTTCCTGGCTGAGCAGATAAGCAAGTGATCACTGAATGGTCACCTGTTGCTCAATTACCCCTGAATCTTTCCGGCCCAAATTAAGAACCAGCATTCCTCTTCGGTGATCACGCCCAGAAGTAAGCTCCAGCATGCAACAGAGACCCTACTTGAAATAGAAGTCCATACTGATCATCAGGAAGAAGTGCATGGCTAGGACCACCACTCCAAAGCAGTGGTCTAGCTACTACAAGTAGACACCTTGAAGAAAGTTGTATGAAAGCCACGTACTTTGCTGGCCGTCCTGTTCCACACCACCACTTTCTTCCCCGCCTTGATCAGGTTGCGCACCATGGCGGTGCCCATTATGCCGAGGCCCAGAAAACCATACGGCTCCGCCATGTTTCGAATTTGTGATAGAATCAACAAAAGTGATCAGGTGCTTGCAGTTTGTTGCTTAGGACCAGCTTTGATCGGTCGCGCAGATGCAGAAACAAGTTTTTGCCACAGGCAGCTTTTGCGTGAGAGATAAAGACGAGCTATCTAGACCTTCGTGGTACCCCTGCTGAAAATAGCGACAATTGGCGGGAGCTGAAAGTGCGCCTTCTGCCAGGTTCTCGATTGCAGAACAAACAGCCTCGATAAAACACCTCGCAACTACCAGAGTAAGACTAGCTGGGCTGATACTAACACTATATGACCAGAAGATCTGAGAAGATCCAGGATACTGTAGAAGTAAAGGCGCCGCCAGCTGGCGCAGCGATAAGCTGCGCCTCTGTCATATGCACTGCTATGCCGTGCAATGCCGTGCAATGCACTACAATGCCGTGCATGCTAAGGGTCTTTACACACAGAGCGGGTGAACTTGGTTTTGAGCGACGGTACAGCAGGGGTTGCGCTGCTCCCGTCGCCAAGAAAACACCGCGGGTGAACTCAGGTGAACTTTTCAATTCGCCGGCAAGTACGGCCTGACGTCAGCTTTTTCACCGCGGTGTTCCAAAGTGCTACCCCAAAAAAAGCCTGGTGAACGGTGGTGAACTTTTTTGGACCGTCGCGCGGGACTACTTTTACGTGAGGAAGTTACCCCACAGAGTGACAAAGTAAACTTTCGCAAAACCCTGTCAC